GTTAATATAGTACATAACATAGGTCATAGACATACAGTTTCAATACAATACAAAATGATTTTGAACAACGTCAAGGTCAATGAAATCATACAAAATGAATTTATGGAATATCAATTAAATGTATTTAAAACAAACATAATTTCAACATCCCAATAAGCAATAACATCCCGGTAAGTATAAATTCAACTATTTTAAATCAATTGTTTGAATAGCCAAATTAAAAGTTGTACGAGTGACAAAATCATTCAATAATATTCACATTTTATCATTTATATTATGTGTCAACTATCAAAGTAGCACTGTTAAGTATATTAAAATATACTTTTCATAAGATTAGATGTAAGATATAATTGTACGAAGGTAACTGAGGAACGACGATGTGTAAGACAATAAATCATACATACAGTGAAAAACGCTCTTTTTGTAGCACATCCTACATGTACATATCGGCAGCATTTTCCTTGCGATAGTAACTCCTAGTCTATATCAATATAAACCAATGATCATCTCGGGAAATCTCCATCGTAATATTACAATATTTGTCCCATAGTTTTTGGCAAAGATCAGTATAGTAATCTGGAAGTTATGGATTCATTGATCCTTTGACTTTGTACGTTATGTACGATAGCCTCGTAGGAAGGGATTCCTTGCTGCTGCACCACATTTTAAAACTACTCTGCTAACACACAAATCCATTAAATTAAAGGGGAAGTCAAGTCCGTAATGTAAACAAACGGTTTGTTTACATTTTGAACTGCTGTATTTTTTAAAATATGATGTACTGTCTGAATATCTAACACCATTTTGGTTCGTTATGCTTCTACATGAATATGAAATAGAGTTTGTGTTCAGAAAAATTCGAAACATTCAAAATTTGGGCAATGTTTACCTCAGAGGGCCCTCTATTGTTATGCGCAGAACCGATGCGCAGAACGGACTTGACTTCCCCTTTAAATGACATAATTTATTCAGCACAAAAAAATTAGAGATTGGAAAGAACACTTGCACAGCAGCACTGAAAGCCCTGGTCAAACAAGAATGAGAGTTGATGAGCCGGGTTGCCGGTCACGAATTAAATGTTACAAATATTAACAAAATACAAGTTTGGTGAGTGTTCTAAAGACGTTTAAATAGTACGTAACTCATTAATAATTCAGGAGGAAAACACAAAGAAAAATCATAAGCGTGTCTTATCTTTATATGTGATAAAATATCATGTTAATTTACATAAACTTTAGCTTTGATTTTCTCGGTTTAGACAAAGTTTATTTTAAAAATTACTTCGTGTTTTATCAGATATTAAAACGCTCGGCTGCGTTTCGCGTTTTATATGTGATAAAACACTCCTACGCGTGTTTTAAATTGTACATAAAATGGGCTATTCCATTTAATATCCGTACCCCCCCTGTCGAGGATACCTGGAATTCTTCAGGGGTAGGGTGTTTTGAGCTTGGAATTCTTCAGGGGTAGGGTGTTTTGAGTTTGGAATTCTTCAGGGGTAGATTGTTTTGAGCTTGGAATTCTTCAGGGGTAAAGGATTTTGAGTTTGGAATTCTTCAGGGGTACAGTCTTTTAGCTTGGAATTCTTCAGGGGTAAAGGATTTTGAGTTTGGAATTCTTCAGGGGTAGATTGTTTTGAGCTTGGAATTCTTCAGGGGTACAGTGTTTTGAGTTTGGAATTCTTCAGGGGTACAGTGTTTTGAGTTTGGAATTCTTCAGGGGTAGGGTGTTTTGAGCTTGGAATTCTTCAGGGGTAAAGTGTTTTGAGCTTGGAATTCTTCAGGTTAAAGTGTTTTGAGCTTGGAATTCTTCAGGGGTACAGTGTTTTGAGCTTGGAATTCTTCGGGGGTAGGGTGTTTTGAGTTTGGAATTCTTCAGGGGTACAGTGTTTTGAGTTTGGAATTCTTCAGGGGTAGGGTGTTTTGAGTTTGGAATTCTTCAGGGGTAAAGTGTTTTGAGCTTGGAATTCTTCAGGGGTACAGTGTTTTGAGTTTGGAATTCTTCAGGGGTACAGTGTTTTGAGCTTGGAATTCTTCAGGGGTACAGTGTTTTGAGCTTGGAATTCTTCAGGGGTACAGTGTTTTGAGCTTGGAATTCTTCAGGGGTACAGTGTTTTGAGCTTGGAATTCTTCAGGGGTAGGGTGTTTTGAGCTTGGAATTCTTCAGGGGTAGGGTGTTTTGAGCTTGGAATTCTTCAGGGGTAAAGGATTTTGAGTTTGAAATTTCTGCAGGGGTACCCTATGATTGATCTGAATTTTTTTAACTAACTAACTGCACTCTTAAGGCCGTTTTCCATTAACGTTCGCTAAAAATGTTCTGCGTGATTTAAGGTGGCTTAGTTGAAAACAATGTAGTTGTGAAAGGACAAAGAGAAATTCCGCTCCACGTGGAAAATTCCGCCTAGTGAAAAACAAGCTTTAAAGCTCGAGTAATACGAGCAACAAAATTGCTGCAACTTGCAACAAAATCTGATTTCTACGCATGTTAATTGAAAATACTTAACATGCATAGAAATCAGTTTTTGCTGCAAGGTGCAGCAATTATTACTCCACATTTACACCCGTTTTTCTTTTTAAATTACATGGCACATGGGGTTAGGCCAGTTAAAATGAGGAAGCGGAACGAAAGGGGTTAAAGGCGGAACGGAACGAATATGAGGTTAAAACTTAAAACCAATATCCGTTCCGTTCTGCATTTTAACCATATATCCGTCCCACATTTTAACCCCATCCGTTCCGTATTTTAATCCCATCCGTTCCGCATCCGTTCCGCTTCCGCACTTTAACCTAACCCATGGCACATGTTTATGTTACGCAAACTACTATAAATAGCAATGTAAACAAAAGACATTTTAAACCGTATCTAACACCCCCCCCCCCAAAAAATAAAAATATATTGAGCCAAAATAAGCTAGATATTATCAGAGAAAAAGAAACAACACACCATCATTTAAACTTGGATAAAACAAAATTTATGATTTTTAAACCTAAACCAAAATTATTGGAATTAGATGTGAAACTACTATTGAATGATAGAGAAATTGATCAAGTGAAAAAAATCGTTTTCTTAGGAATTATTTTAGATGACAAACTTTCTTGGAAATCTCATATTAGTCATGTGTCAACGAAGATTTCAAAATCAGTAGGAATAATACGTAAATCTAGTTGTTTTTTTAAACAATCATTGTTTACAGTACTTTATATTACTCAATGCAATATTGTTTGGGCATCTACGTATGCATCCAACCTGTTTCGTTTGGTAGTTCTTTAGAAACGTATTGTTAGAATTATGAATATAGTACATTTGATTCTCATACAAGCATGATCTTTAAAAATTTTCGATTATTGAAATTTAATGACATATGTAAATTACACTGACATGTCAATTCATGTTCTTGTATAAAAAAATCTTGTACCAGAACATTTAAAAAATATTTTTTTATTAAATAACCAAATACATAATTATAATACTAGAAGAGCAAATGAATTTCACATTGTAACTCCTAGAACAAATCTACGTCAATTCTCTATTAAATTCCAAGTACCATTAATTTTTTCTATAACAGTCTAGACAATACCCTGGGTGCCAGAGGTTCTTCCACGCTCGTAGGGGGATAATGAGGGATACACAAGGATTCAAGCTGGGCGGGAGGCGAGCGGAAAGAACCTTTGGAACACTTCTATCAGTTCTATGGTTTCTCAGATCGAACCGCACCAATCACGATGCTTAATAGTGTGAAGTGATCTAGAATCTGGATCACAGTGTTAATTGGTTAACGGCAGGGACTTGTTAAAACAATGACTTTCATTGGCTGTTTGAACCGTATGTCCTTCAAGATATTGCGGTGCCCAAACTTGGGCACCGCATTATATTCTGCCTGTGAGTTTGTTAGTTTGTTCGCATCAACACGTTTCCTTATTAGTCTTATTAATCACCTAGTAAAAATTCTTTGCACGTGCTCGAAATTTATTCATTTTTGCGGGAAAATTAATTAATCTTGTACTCTCAGGATCGACTGTTTGCTAGGCTTTATCTCTGGTTTTATGGGCCAAACAAGGACAACAATACCACTGTTTGAATCAGCGTGAAAAGTTGTATATATGGATGGAAAATTGATTTCTATTCTAGCGATATATATGGCCTTTGAAAGACAAACCGCTCAAAAATAATCCTTCACGTTTTCCAAATTATTTTTTTCGAGGAAAGTTTTCTTTCGAATTAATTTTCAAACGAGAGGGGGTTTGATAATTTAATTAATTAATTAATCGGTTTTCTACCAAACCTCCTCTCACATAGGCTTTTAAGTAAATATTTATTATTTTGATTGATAACATTATCTTTTCTTGTTATTATCTAACTTACATTATTTGATACTTTCTGTAAATAATCGTGTGTGACAATTTATTAAACATAAACAAACAAACATATTAAACATAAACAAAACACCTGTGTCATGAGATACTTCTAGAGTTTGAAAATCTCATGATCACATTTAATAATCACTAATCAGTGTTTTAAAATATCTTTATCACATACGGAAGTTAATTTACTGTACGCACGATTTTTTAAACACACGGCCGGTGCATTATATTTCTAAAAATAAAAACAACTGTGAATGTGCCAGACAATCCAGATTGTATATAGTTTTGATTGTTTGCTCAAGCTAAAAGTAAAACATTATTTCCTTTGCAACATTTGCTAGTCTAAAATATCTTCTTCATATTCGTCCTTGACTGAAGCAACTATAAATTCCATTTGTTCATCTTGCATTGGTGGGCTATCTGATAAATTATCTCCTGTTGCAATGCCATATTGCTCACTGCCCTTGTTCCCAGACGCAGTGTCAATGTTTTGGTTGAAAACCATTGTTGCCTGTTGATTAATAGCTTTGTTGTACTGCTCGATTGACCTGACAACATCGCACTGTGCGGACTTTAAATTTGTGAAAACCACGTCAAACTGGTTCTCCAACTCATTCCTTCTTCTTTCTCCATCATGATGACTTATCTCTTCAGAAAATGTTTTGTAGCCCTGGTCTGCTAAAAACTGCGCCTTTTTGAGTTTTTCAGAATTCGTTAATACAGATTTCAAATTTGGACCTCTGTCATTCAGGTTTGCCCAATTTGAGTCAAGGTCTTGAACGTTACTCACTAAATATAAAAGCTTAGTTTTCATCAGTGTCCAGTGGACCTCTATAACACCACACCTTTCCTGAAAACCCCAAGTTTCAAAGAATGGATCACGTGAAATTTCTCTTGCTTTCTTCTTGGCAAAAATCATTCGTTCCTTTTCTAGTAATCCAGTCGCATTTTCGATTTCATTGTCACTGTATATTTGACTACCACTTGTACCAGCAATTAGATTTTTTTATTCTGTTTCCTTGGATACACTTGCAGATTCCAGATCTTGCTCACCATCATGTCCATCATATCCAGATGTAGTTTCGGTCGACACTTGTGTATCACACTCTGTCTCTAAAACCGTCGTCGTCGAACTTGTTGTGTCATTCTCTGTTGTTTCAGTGATCTGCAGGTCACAAAAGAACGTTTGTGTCTGGTCGGATTTACTAACGCATTGCGCTGCAAGATATTTTTTTTCCTGTTTTCGGTTTAATGGTGTTGCAAACACTACAAAACAGTAATCACTATGAAACAGCTTCGCATTGTCGATTTTTTTTCTTATTTCTGCTAGGAATGTTTGAAGGGTAATGTCTGACAATGTCCCAATAGTTTCTTCAGTATTATATTTTCGTAGATAGAGTTTTACAACCGACATGATGACTGACGAGGAATATTTAAAACGGTCTTTGCACAGTTGCAGTTTGCAGTCCGCATTTGCAGGTGTGAAATTTACAACTTTCGAACATCCTGTCTAATAAGCGGTTCTCATTGGCTATCGCTAATTACTCGCAATCTATTATTGGTTAAGCAAAGCAAACGTGTTTTGAAGCAAAATGTAAACAAATATTCTGACACGAAACAGGTCTAACAGGTCAAGCGCTTTATATAAACCCGAGTTTGGTGTGAAGATATAAGAAATATTAAGGTTTATAGGTTAACTATTAATAGAAGATTAAAATGAAAAAGTCAAACTATTATGCGTTGATTCGTGAGAGAGTTATAACTCTTGTTATACACTGTGTATCAATATATAGTTTTAGTTGTCTAGTACGTGTTTCTATTATAAATAAATATGCACGAAAATAAATGTTGTTTTTTACCCGGCTTTTACTACCCTGGTTCCAGAGGTTTATTTTTATTATTTTCATTGCGACGGGAGGCTTTTACATGAATCCGCGAAATTTAAGGTGTTTGCAGTTAGGGCATGGGATCATTTTTAGCTGTCAGCCTGTGTGTCATTAAAGCATTGGAATGTTTTTGAATAACATAGTCAAGGGAATTATTGCAAAAGTTTCCTACTGTATGTACTATTTACAACATGTGCGGCCGTGTTGTATCGGATATACAAACTCGAGCCGAAGGCGAGACATGGCTTAAAAAACGACTCATCTTATGCGTTCATTGGCGAAGTAATTTCAAAAATAAACGTTGTCTAAGCCGAGAAAATCAAAGTTAAAGTTTATGTAAATCAATATGAATTTGTATCACAGATACGACACGCTTATGATTTTTCTTTGTGTATGAAGTTGTAAATTTCAATCTGCTAGTGCGGGGCGGGGCCTGCGGGCTATTATAATACATGGTCTAGACAGCGGCAGGTATTTTCCGCGGGTGGCGGGTAACGGGTAGCGGGTGACGGGTAGCGCATGCGTAGCGGGTGGCGGTGGTTCTCGAACAAATAAACAGTGTAGCGAAGTTTGGCACAAATACCGATATTTCTGGAGATTTTCAACCACAGTGACAGGCAAAGCCAAAGGCACAACTGTATCTGAACATGATTTCCAAGCTGCATTTAGGCGTCTCCAAGTGGTGATTCACACGAAATTTGGTTTCTCTCGTCTTTAACAACATGGCAATAGCCTTTAATATTTGGTTTAAATAATTATGCTCTTAGGTCTGGCTTAGTTCGATATAAATAAACACAAATATAAAACCTCGGGTATTAATTACCTGTTTACGCTGCATGTACAGTGAATATACAGTTCGCTTCGATCGCCGGACACCAATGCTTGCATACAAATTTTATCCCTTTCACAATCTTCGTTTTATTTTATCGTATAGTCGCAATTTTCAAGTATTCGTGGTACTCTGAAACTGTAAAACTCGGTGGCGTGACAAATCTTGTAGAGACTACATCGGACTAGGCGTAGAGCTATTAAGTAAACCGGGCCTAAATTAATTTAATAGTTTCATTTAATTGTTTGTCTTGCTTTTATTTGTGTCGATCAGTATAGAATATTGTAAATTAAATATTACTACAATGCAATACGCGTAGTATTTCATCCGACATCTGCACTACATTATAAATACTGAAAACTACGCAGTAGTCTACGGCCAGGGACGCCGGAACGATCATAGGGCAAAGGGGGTCGGACCCAGACCAAGGGCACCTCTATGAAGCAAATTTTTTTTTACTCGAAAATTTTCGGCGACCTACCCCCCCGTCGCCAAAAAAATTTCGGTCAGTGTACCATTTTAGGGGTCAAAAAAATTTTCCGGACATACCAAAAGTCAGATATAAACTAAAATTTCGGTCAGTGTACAATTTTAGGGGTCAAAAAATTTTTCCGGACATCAAAAGTCGGATATAAACTATAAATTGTCTGAATCTCATGATTTTCGTACAAAAAGCATCGTTGTAAATGTGATTTATCACGTACTATTTTACAACTAAAAGGGCACTTCTGCCCCCCTGCCCCCCCCTAGCAAAAGGCAAGGGGGGCAGCCGCCCCCCCCTGCCCCCCCAGTTCCGGCGTCCCTGAGTCTACCGACTATAAAGTAGATGTTTCTCGTTTTTCCAGGAAACATCACAGCTCACGTCAACATAGCTTTTGAGTTTTGTAACCGGCCGAGCCGAAAGTAGCTAAATCATGCAGTCGGGAAAACCGAAAACTTCTTACTTTGAAAGATTATTTTGCAAAATACACTCGTACACACAAGAATCATAAAAATACATATGTTGAAATTGTTATTGTCAACTGTCAAATTCAGCTATTTTTAGACAATATGGTGTTAGCCAATCAGAATGCAAAATTGACCGGCCCAGCCCAGCCCAGGGCTTTCTCGTCTCTCTGCCTCGCCCTCATACGAAAGCCCTGGGAACGAGGTTGCGTAAATTATTCTATGTGTTCAACATGTGAATTACAAGAACTACCGCCACCCGCTACGCACGCACTACCCGCTACCCGTCACCCGCTACCCGCGGAAAATACCTGCCGTCTAGACAGACATATGGTCTAGATTTAACTTGGCTTTTCTAGCTATTACACCCGTTTTCAAAATTACGCGACCTCCCTGAAAAATACTCCTGCTTCAAATGTCAGTTTTATGTCACAAGAACTGCTAAAAATAGCAAACGTAAACAAACTGTCTAAAGACATTTTAAACCGTATTTAATACCAAAACTGAACAAAAATGAGTCAGATAACTTAGATATACAAACTAAAGCACAATACAAACCATCACAACATAAATATGTGCCGTGAATGACTTTTAAAGTTTGAAAAATAACAATTTATCGTGGAATATAGCTGTCAGTATAAAACACGCGCGCTAGACTATAACGGTGATGTTATGATTTTGTCGTGCTTAAATTTTACAATAATTCTCACCAAAATATCTTGAAAATCATTGTAAGTCTGTTTATATAAAGCATACAAAGCATATACATCGACAAGGAACCGCAAAACTCAAAATTTGAACTTCGTGATCGAATGACATAAAACTGACATGTCAACTCTAGCATTTTCGTCTTTGGTCGCGTAATTTTGAAAACGGGTGTAAGATCAAAAATACAAAATTTTATCACTAAAACTCTGATTTTCGCGTGCTAGCCCCCAAACCTTTTAAACTGGGTAAATTCATATATCGCAATTAGTACAAGCTTTTAAAACGCAAATGGCATACAGTACAATATAACAATAACAAGATAGACTGGGAAATTGGAATTATGAAATGAATTCCTGCATTTTATATTACATATAAGGCAAACTTCCGGAAGTACGAAATAACAAACGGGACAATGTAACAAAATTAAATTTATAAGAACCTCGTTATATTATAAACAGAGAATATGAAAGCAATCAAAATAGTTTTTGACGGGGAAACGGTTGGCGTTTTGCCAGCGTTTAATGAGGGAGATACTTTGTCAAACCTTCGCGATGAAATTTCAGACGATTTGGGCCTGAAGAGCTTTGTGTACCTGTATGAAGACTTGCCAATTGAATTAAGCAAGGAAAGCATTCTTAAAGTCGAATGCGTTGCAAAACAAGTTAGCGGAGAAAACGAATGCTTATCCATTGAGCTTACTTCTGGCGATCGACCCCCACAAGGCGACCGCGATTCAACGAAATTAAAAACAAATGTTGGACAAACAAACATGTTTTTGCGACGTCCAAGTTCTTGGGAAGTACGAGGTATAAAGATTTACACAACTCAAGACATTGAAGTGGCAAAGGGAATGGAGAAACAAAGACGCCTTTTCTGGAATGACACGGCGAAAAAGCTGTGCAAAGAAACGAAAAAGTCTAAACAGGATATTGCACAAATTATAAATGAGGCCTGGAGGAAAGAGCAAACCGGCTTATTGATTGGGGAAAGTAAAGATTTACTAAATGCAGCTGAAGACATGCATGCAAAAGAGAGTAAATTGAAGCCCAGCACTCTTTCAAAAAATGTCCAAAGAATACGAAACAGCCAGAATGAATTAGAAAAAGTCAATGCCAGTATAGTTGAAACTCAGAAAAATAGCCCTGGGCCTGGGGAAGCAAATCTAAAGAGAAAGCGTGAGCTGGAATAACTACATCGCGCTAAAAAATATTATCTTTCTGACATAAAAAAAAGGACAAGACGTCATGCGAAAAAATTTAAAACTAAAAATGTCTGATGTTAAACACCTTACGGAATAAGGTGATGTTCACAAAAAGGCAAGACTTGCGTCCAAATTGACATCGAGATTGACATTGTAATTAATTAAGAATTGTTCCAATCGTTTTCGTTTTATTTCGCTATTATATGACTACCCAAGATTGTGTGAGGAGTGGTGCATTGCTACTCGATGATTCTGTCATCATGTTGCCTTTGAAAGATACGTTACTTTGAACATTGCTACTCGATGATTATGTCATCATGTTGCCCTTTGAAAGATATGTTACTTTGAACATTGCTACGCGATGATCCTGTCATCGTGTTGCCTTTGAAAGATACGTTACTTTGAACATTGCTATTCGATGATCCTGTCATCACGTTGCCTTTGAAAGATACGTTACTTTGAACATTGCTACTCGATGATTCTCTCATCACGTTGGCTTTGAAAGATACGTTACTTTGAACATTGCTATTCGATGATTCTCTCATCACGTTGCCTTTGAAAGATACGTTACTTTGAACATTGCTACTCGATGATCCTGTCATCATGTTGCCTTTGAAAGATACGTTACTTTGAACATTGCTATTCGATGATCCTGTCATCATGATGCCTTTGAAAGATACGTTACTTTGAACATTGCTATTCGATGATTCTCTCATCACGTTGCCTTTGAAAGATACGTTACTTTGAACATTGCTATTCGATGATTCTCTCATCACGTTGGCTTTGAAAGATACTTTACTTTGAACATTGCTACTCGATGATTCTCTCATCACGTTACCTTTGAAAGATACGTTACTTTGAACATTGCTACTCGATGATTCTCTCATCACGTTGCCTTTGAAAGATACTTTACTTTGAACATTGCTATTTGATGATCCTGTCATCACGTTGCCTTTGAAAGATACGTTACTTTGAACATTGCTACTCGATGATTCTCTCATCACGTTGCCTTTGAAAGATACTTTACTTTGAACATTGCTATTTGATGATTCTGTCATCACGTTGCCTTTGAAAGATACTTTACTTTGAACATTGCTACTCGATGATTCTCTCATCACGTTGCCTTTGAAAGATACGTTACTTTGAACATTGCTACTCGATGATTCTCTCATCACGTTGCCTTTGAAAGATACGTTACTTTGAACATTGCTATTCGATGATCCTGTCATCACGTTGCCTTTGAAAGATACGTTACTTTGAACATTGCTACTCGATGATTCTCTCATCATGTTGCCTTTGAAAGATACGTTACTTTGAACATTGCTACTCGATGATTCTCTCATCACGTTGGCTTTAAAAGATACGTTACTTTGAACATTGCTACTCGGTGATCCTGTCATAATGTTGCCTTTGAAAGATACTTTACTTTGAACATTGCTATTCGATGATCCTGTCATCATGATGCCTTTGAAAGATACGTTACTTTGAACATTGCTATTCGATGATTCTGTCATCATGATGCCTTTGAAAGATACGTTACTTTGAACATTGCTACTCGATGATCCTGTCATAATGTTGCCTTTGAAAGATACGTTACTTTGAACATTGCTACTCGATGATCCTGTCATCATGTTGCCTTTGAAAGATACGTTACTTTGAACATTGCTATTCGATGATCCTGTCATCGTGTTGCCTTTGAAAGATACGTTACTTTGAACATTGCTATTCGATGATTCTGTCATCATGTTGCCTTTGAAAGATATGTTACTTTGAACATTGCTACGCGATGATCCTGTCATCGTGTTGCCTTTGAAAGATACGTTACTTTGAACATTGCTATTCGATGATTCTGTCATCATGTTGCCTTTGAAAGATACTTTACTTTGAACATTGCTATTCGATGATCCTGTCATAATGTTGCCTTTGAAAGATACGTTACTTTGAACATTGCTATTTGATGATCCTCTCATCATGATGCCTTTGAAAGATACGTTACTTTGAACATTGCTACTCGATGATTCTCTCATCATGTTGCCTTTGAAAGATACGTTACTTTGAACATTGCTATTCGATGATCCTGTCATCACGTTGGCTTTGAAAGATACGTTACTTTGAACATTGTTACTCGGTGATCCTGTCATAATGTTGCCTTTGAAAGATACTTTACTTTGAACATTGCTATTTGATGATCCTGTCATCATGTTGCCTTTGAAAGATACGTTACTTTGAACATTGCTACTCGATGATTCTGTCATCATGTTGGCTTTAAAAGATACGTTACTTTGAACATTGCTACGCGATGATTATGTCATCATGTTGCCTTTGAAAGATATGTTACTTTGAACATTGCTACGCGATGATCCTGTCATCGTGTTGCCTTTGAAAGATACGTTACTTTGAACATTGCTACTCGATGATCCTGTCATAATGTTGCCTTTGAAAGATACTTTACTTTGAACATTGCTATTCGATGATCCTGTCATCATGATGCCTTTGAAAGATACGTTACTTTGAACATTGCTACTCGATGATCCTGTCATAATGTTGCCTTTGAAAGATACTTTACTTTGAACATTGCTATTCGATGATCCTGTCATCATGATGCCTTTGAAAGATACGTTACTTTGAACATTGCTACTCGATGATCTTGTCGTAATGTTGCGTTTGAAAGATACTTTACTTTGAACATTGCTATTCGATGATCCTGTCATCATGATGCCTTTGAAAGATACGTTACTTTGAACATTGCTATTCGATGATCCTGTCATCATGATGCCTTTGAAAGATACGTTACTTTGAACATTGCTACTCGATGATCCTGTCATCATGTCTTGTCGTGCTGCCTTTGAAAGATACTTTACTCGGAACATTGTTATTTGATATTCTCGGTATCTCTGCTGCTGTTTGAATATACTTAACTTTGAACATTTAAATTGGTGATCTCGACATCTCTTCGAATCACTGATCTGAAATAAGACTGGATAAAGCATCCTATTGAATTCAGAAATCCGATTTTGAAGCCAGTAATGAGATGAGATTTATAAATCAAATTCATGACCAGTCTAATCGTTTGCTGTTTAAGTTCAGTTAGACTATAAAGCAAATATCATCGCCTATGTGACTTGTGAAATATAGCTTCCAAAACCTTTTCGAAGTAGATTTAGAACGTTTTATACACCACCTAATGAGGCTGATGGCGGCCGTATTTGATGGCCCCATTAGTTATTCACCGGCGAATTTAGGGGAAAAAAGAGGCCACTGATGATAAATTCTTATCTAGGCAATATTTGTCCTTTCCCACTAGTGACTAGAAACGTAAAGGAAGTGTTAAACATGATCACAACACGTACCAGATTAGAGTAACAGTGGGGCCATCCAATATGGCTGCCATTGGCTTCACTTATGCACAGCAGATGCTTTATCCAGTCTTATTTCAGATCAGTGGTTCGAATATACTTAACTTTGAACGTTTAGCTTCACGATCCTGTTAGTGTGGAGTATTAGAGAGTTTATGCTTCGCGTTATACGTTTCAGGTAATAAAGAGCAAGTTAGCTTGCCGTTTTAAAACTGAAATACATAATTATTCTTTCGACACAAGATAGAAAATATGAAACGAAAACGTTCAAAAAAAATTTGGCAAGAAAATTCAAACCTGGCGTTTGAATTGCCGTTCCCGGAAACGTGAAGCTTATTTAGCTATTTAAGTAACTCTTTATTCTTATTCATTTACGTGGGAGAGGCGATGCACTGCATGATTGTGTTTAAGTGTTTTCCACAGTATAAACTGAATTTATCATACGGTACCTCGATCTACTTTCCATTATTCTTGATTGGTTAGTGGAGCAGTGGAGAGGATGGTGCGTTGTAAATATATGTTGTGAATTTCTCTGTGAACTTTTTACTGCATACTGTAGTTCATGTAAAGTAATGTAACATCATTTTGTAAAAATGTTGGGGTTTTTTTTCATAATTTAATCCAAATTTTCACCCTATTTTGCTGAAAATATGGCAATCTCTATTCGAAATTTATATAAAAAATTCGATCAGAACGCAGGAAATCGCATTTCCGAGGTTCTAGATTTCCAAATTTTGCAAAGACATGAGGAATTATGCATCTCTCAGCTAAAACCATGGATCCGGCCCTGTTGTAAAGGCCTAAGAACATATTTATTATCCAAATATGTAGTAGATAAACCATAATAAGTAGACAATAACTGTAAATATAAACATAATTATTTTAACTTATGCTTTTTAGATAACATAGAGATAAACTTTACTTTGTAATCTATAGCAGTTGAAGACATGGGCTAACCGGGCGGGGGGGGGGCAGTTTGTTGGGCAAACAGTCGGGCAATATTGGCTTATTATAAAAATAAATGGGACAAATTCTGTGAATTTTGTGGGAAATTCTGTCAATCTTGTAGGAAATATGCTATGTAATAGGAATTCCCCCCCCCCGACAACAGTTTTGGAAAGTTTCTCTGAAAATTTTCTTTTGACAACTCGGACACAATCCAAAAAAATAGGGCAAATCTCTTTCCGCCCCATAATTTTTCAATTCCCGTACGCCCATGGTTGAAGAGCCACTCTGTGGATACACTGTTATTAAATCATTATATGGAATTCTTCAGGGGTAAAGTGTTTTGAGTTTGGAATTCTTCAGGGGTGAAGTGTTTTGAGTTTGGAATTCTTCAGGGGTAGAGTGTTTTGAGTTTGGAATTCTTTAGGGGTAAAGTGTTTTGAGTTTGGAATTCTTCAGGGGTAGGGTGTTTTGAGCTTGGAATTCTTCAGGGGTAGTGTGTTTTGAGCTTGGAATTCTTCAGGGGTAGGGTGTTTTGAGTTTGGAATTCTTCAGGGGTAAAGGATTTTGAGTTTGGAATTCTTCAGGGGTAAAGGATTTTGAGCTTGGAATTCTTCAGGGGTAGGGTGTTTTGAGTTTGGAATTCTTCAGGGGTAGAGTGTTTTGAGTTTGGAATTCTTCAGGGGTAAAGGATTTTGAGCTTGGAATTCTTCAGGGGTAAAGTGTTTTGAGTTTGGAATTCTTCAGGGGTAGAGTGTTTTGAGCTTGGAATTCTTCAGGGGTAAAGAGGTTTGAGATCGAAAGTTTTCAGAGTTTGGAATTCTTCAGGGGTAAAGTGTTTTGAGTTTGGAATTCTTCAGGGGTAGAGTGTTTTGAGCTTGGAATTCTTCAGGGGTAAAGGATTTTGAGCTTGGAATTCTTCAGGGGTAAAGTGTTTTGAGTTTGGAATTCTTCAGGGGTAGGGTTTTTGAGTTTGGAATTCTTCAGGGGTAGGGTGTTTTGAGTTTGGAATTCTTCAGGGGTAAAGTGTTTTGAGCTTGGAATTCTTCAGGGGTACAGTGTTTTGAGCTTGGAATTCTTCAGGGGTAAAGTGTTTTGAGCTTGGAATTCTTCAGGGGTACAGTGTTTTGAGTTTGGAATTCTTCAGGGGTGGAGTGTTTTGAGCTTGGAATTCTTCAGGGGTAGGGTGTTTTGAGTTTGGAATTCTTCAGGGGTAGAGTGTTTTGAGCTTGGAATTCTTCAGGGGTAAAGGATTTTGAGCTTGGAATTCTTCAGGGGTATAACTATGAAAAACATGTATCCTCGACAGGGGGGGTACGGATATTAAATGGAATAGCCCATTCACTGAGCTATAATATTACAGTAATATTATTATAGCTCAGGGGCTAAATTGCGCAATCCTGAGCCCACGATGCCGCAATGGAAAGTCACACTTGCGACAACCAAAAAAAAAAAAAAAAAACCGAAAAAATTCCTCGCATTCCAGCGAGGGCAAATTATAACACTGGCTGCGGCCAGTGTAATAATGTTTAGTTGTTGACTGAACATTGACTGTTGAGTCCCCTGTTGGTACTGTAATTTGTAACAGTGAGAGTTTTGGAAACTTATTTGGATGGGACGGGGTATAATACTTATGGTACCGGTAACCAGTATCCAGAAGTGGGATACTGGATTCTCAGGGGGGGGGGATACTAAACTTTGAATCATGGTATCCCATTTGGATACTGAGAAATCCTGGCATCCCTAAGTTTAGGCTTCCTTCACCATTATCCAGGTATGACTCGTCATCTTGGGGTTGGAGTGACAAGAAGAAGAGAGAGGAAATGAGTGAAGATAATGCTTGGTAATAACTAATTATATTTCTTCAGTTCTCTTAGCCAGTCTGGATTATATAAATATCAGCCATTTGCTTATTCAGATATGGAATTGACAGGATTGAGTTAGGGATGGACCATTATTAGAAAAGTGATCCGGGGGGGGGGATTTTCTAAGAGGCAATTTTTTTTTGTACACCTATAGAAGAAATTTTTTTTCTCACTTGATGGCTGGAAATAATTTTTTTAAGTGAAATTTATAGGCCTATCTTCGAAGCTAGGATTTTTTTTGCACTATGCCTGGGAAGATTTTTTCCCCTAAATTTTTCCAGGAATAAATTTTTTTGTTTTGCCTTACCCCCATCACTTTTCTAATGGTCCGTCCCTTACAACTAGATGGTAACTATTTTTTTGAACTCAGGTATTTGATTGCAAAAGATGGAAGTGGAAAAGCAGTTGGTCTTTCACATTTCAGATTTGATCTTGACAATGAGATTGAAGTCCTTTACTGGTACAGTGTATATATTTATGTAGCATACTGCTCATTGCAGTTTAAATTAGCTACAGTATTTGCTGTATACTAACATCCTCTTTTGTTTTAATTATTTCCCTCTCTTATTCTAAATCCAATAGCATCCTTTATATTTATTTCTTAGTTATGAAATTCAGTTGGACAAAAGTGTGAGAAATAAAGGTCTTGGCAAATTTATAATGCAAATCCTTCAATTGCTTGCTCATAGGTATGTCTCAGATACATGAGGATAATGATATGAAAATATGAACATTAGTGTACATGCAGGGTTTACTCAGGTTTAGTATGATTTTAGTTGTGTGGTGAAATCGAAATATGAATGGGAAGTTTTTGGATCTAGCAAGGATTGGGTTTATGACATATATATACTGTACTTGTATTCTTGTTGTGTATTTTTATCATTTCTTGCATTTTTACAATTTCAGATATAACATGCAAAAAGTGATGGTTACTGTTTTTAAAGGTATAAAACTATTTATTTGGCTCATCAAACAAGGAAACCATCCAGAAATGTTTTATTCTGACTTTTTATAAAATTTCTTACATATAACTAAGCCTAAGGTGCTGAATTTTGAAAGCATATATGTGAGTTATGACATCTTATTTTATTTTTCCAATACAGATAATGAAAAAGCAGTGAATTTCTTCACGAAGCTTTTGAAGTTTGTACACACTCTCTGTTTCTTATACGTGTCCCGTTTACGTTGGTAACGGCGTTACTCTCGTATCAGTTTTGCTAATTTGTGAATCTTCATTTAGGTTTGAAATTGATGAAACATCACCAAGCTATTATGATCCACTACATCCAGAAGGTTATTGTTATGAAATAATGAGTAGACCTGTCATGAAAACTGCATCTTAAGATCTTAAACACAGAGGAAGGGCACTATCAGTTTATGGAAAGAATTGAAGAAAATTAATGTAGCTTTGACTATCAACCCTTTTTTGAGACGTTTGTGGATACGCCTCGACAACATGCAACATCTTATTAAACTTCTTTATCACATGCCAATCTTCAATAGGCAGAAATGTGACCAACGCTTGTTTACGGTATATGCTATTCATAGTCCACTATGTGACATTATGATTTATGGTCACGTGAAAATTGGATTGTTGAAAACATACATATATATAAATAAACTACATATATATAAATACAGCTCGCTTACCGTAACGATTGAATGATAACCAGGTCCAAGCTAGGAATAGCAATTATTCTGTGTAATTTATTTTATTATTTAGTATTTTAAGGCCGTTTTAGAATATCACAGTAGTGGACTGTCAACCCCGTTCCCACCCTGGGAACGAGGTCGGTGGACTGTTCGGTCAAGTGTGATAAAGTGTGCACCCTTCACCAATGGCGAAGCTAGCCATAGCAACAAGTCATGCTATGCACAGTTTTAATGATTTGCTTTATTCAAACTTTTACAAATGTATTGTCTTAACGATAAAAAATCAGTTAACTGTAATAATAAATATTTTGAATTTAGATATATTCGTAGGCTGTTTGGTACGTGTACCTTTTAGGCTCTGATTTGCCGAATATGAATATCACGAATATGTGATTACGAATATGCGGAAAGTACCCCACCATGAACAAAGACTGCAGGCCTTTGCATTTCTAATTTAAAAGTCACCGGGCTAGCAATATGAAAATGCCGGCTACTATTTTAAACTCTGTATTTGAATTCCCATCAATCCAGAGTGTTCTGGTGTTATATTGTATAACCTATTTCGAATTCAATACAGGTTTATTAGGGCCCAGTTGCACGATACCGTATTCGCATCGGAGCGACGTCAAATTTTACAGTTTCAAGGGGAGTTTAGCACACAAAATCATGATAATATAACAGAATTAGTCAAAAACTTCAAATATGAAAAGTTGTAAGAGGCCAAATGTCGCTCCGATGCGAATCCAGTATCATAGTATCATGATACTAATCACTCCAAGAGAAGAGTTTGACTAGCTTGATCTCCAAATCATCATTCGCTCTTGTTTGACCGTTTTGCTACTTTCATTGTTTTCATAGTTTTATTATTTTAAAGTAATTTAATATGGCACCAATAAAGTTGTTAAATGAAATGAAATAGTATGACCAGTTGCCATGGCTAGCTTCGCCACTGCCCTTGACCAAAATTCGCTTAAACCTTTGATTTTCTACTTCGGAACCATACTCAGATATATGAAAAACTAATTTCATATTTACTCTTGAGTAAATCATATATCTCTGAGAATGGTTCTGAAATAAATTTCTTTCACGATTTGAACACAGTAGATGGTTGGAAGAGTGAATCAGCAATACCAAAAATTTACTTTTGTAAATTTTGTTTTAGTCTAATCAGTATTTTCTAATTTGTATTCTACAGTATTTCTAGTTATATTTTTTATTTCTTACATTAATAAAATTAAAGCTGAAAGAATTTTGATGTTTGATTTAATATATTTCTATCTAATGAGTAAACGTTAACACTAAATAAATAAAAACCGACATCATATTGTCCAGTTATTCAAAGTTTTCAAATCAAATAATGTCTGATCATAGCCTAAATAAGCGAGTATTTTTACATATACTTGCTGTAAATAAGAACACGTGCACATATCTCATATAATTTACTAATCAATAATTTTCTGGGGAATATTTCAGTGCTAATTCTGACAACGGCATAACAAATGTTAGTCTGGGGCCGGTTGTATAAAAAAGTGATTAAAGTTAACTATAATTAAGTGCAAACGTCATCCAATAAGAAGCGCGTATTTGAGAGTTAATCACTATTTAACTATAGTGAGGCGGATATGTGTAAAATTATTGATCAGTAGTTCCCGTTGAGGTTAAAAGCATCAAACTTTCACAATTGATGTAGTTTTATTTGCTTAATAATAGATATTTGAAGTGGGGCCGTCGCTATTTTGCTGCTAACTCCTGAAAACGGGTGATTAGTGATTTTCTTCTATTGAATTCTATTATAGCCAAAAAATGTGAAATTTTGTATTCAATTACAACAAATATGACTTGCATCATCAGAAAGCTTATAAAAAACTGCATATAAGACGTTTACACAGTTTTTTGATTTCTGAAATAGTTTTCGAATTATAAACTGTTAAAAACGCATTTTCAAACATCGAATAATTAATTAGGGACTTTTAGCGAGATAATGTGCCTAATTTACAGCAATAACCATTTGAAGAATAAAAAACTGTTTAAAAGTCTTTTATGTAGTTTTTTACAAGCTTTCTGATGATGCAAGTTATATTTGTCGCGATTGAATTCAAAATTTCACATTTTTGTTGTAGTAGAATTTAATAGCAAATAATGCTAATAATAATTTATTAATTTGTACTGCGCTAAAACTATAGAATATTCTAAAGCGCTTAATTACATAAAATAGGAAGCTAATTTAAAAATTTCCCTACGTTATTTACACAACATTTAACTACTGTAAGCATCTATTTAAAAATATTTAAAAACAAGAAGTATTATTAATGTACGCATCTCTATACAAAAATGTCCTAAGATTTGTCTTAAAAGAATCCAACGAAGGTGAAAGCCGAATCTCACATGGTACTAAGTTCCATAGAGTAGGTCCTGCTTTCAAAAAGGCACGATCACCAAAAGACTTTCTATGTGTGCTTGGAACATGAATTAAGAAGCCCTAGTTCGTCCGATCTCAAAGAGTAGGTATTACTTTGTTTATAAGTCAACATGTCACAAATATATTTGGGAGCCAATCCATGCAGAGCTTTATAAACCAACAGTACGATCTTGAATATAACACGATATTTAACCGGTAACCAATGCAGTCTCATTAATGTAGGTGTAATAATATCAAACTTAGGTACAAGACATACAACACGAGCAGCAGCGTTTAGCACTTTCTGCAATCGATTTAATTGATATTTTGGAATTCCATACAGCAAAGAATTGCAACAATCCAAATGGGATGTAATAAATGCATGAACTAAAATTTTGGTAGCATCGTCAGTTAAGTATTTCCTGATTTTTTGATATGGTAGTATGATTACTATATTATATTATGTAGTATGATTACTATATTATTATATTAGATTTTGCTAATATGCAAATTCATGGACATGTGAGTATCTAACCAAGACCCAAGATCACGAACAGCGCCTACTGGAGAAATCAATACTTCTCCTACCCTCAATTTGTCAATCGATACCTTGATGACCTGAGGCGTGATATCGCGATTGTTTCATACTCGCGTGCCACAAACTGAGCTTTCTGATTGGTCAATTTGAAGTTGAGGTATAATACATGTATGTATAGTTGTAACTCAACAGTGCATGAAAACTGCATTATGTTTCATGTACAAGACAGTATATAATTCTTCAGTATATATTCTATCTTGTTCTAGAGTTTAACAATTTATCCCTCTGAACAGGAAGGCTTAATAAAGGATTTACTAGACAATTAAAGTTGGGCAATTTCCATCATCTTCAGGCAATGTGGTGTCCCTTCCAGGAAGAAACTACTTAATCATGAAGACAGCCATTGGCATAAATATTGTTTCCAGTGTTTTAAAATATTCTGTTATCACATATTTTCAGTCACACTAAATCAGATGCTGATAGCTGCTCTATTTTGTTTTATTTGTTTGAATTCATTTTTTCTGTTTGCCCATATAGGGACCATTGACAAATCGCTTGTTCCACGATTACTTTAACCCCCTTCTCGAATACCTTATTGCGTACCATTAAATGTTTAGTTTAAAATAAAAAGTCAATTTTTTCATCTCATATATTTAACAATCATGGATTCTGAGCTATTTTAGCTCTCCCCGTTCATGGAAGAAGTTTGAGGGACAAAATCAGTATGTTGATGATCCCTTATTTGTGATCCTACTTAGCTGCTATGCAGCTGCCACATTGAAAAAAGTCAAAATTTCTCCATGAAAAATACAAATTGATTAGTTGGTGTGTTTAATACAGACACGGAGACACCATTTTTCATTCCATTGGGCTATTGCATTTAAATAATATCCGAAGTCCGAACCCCCTGTCCAGGACCTTGCAACTCTAATCCAGGGGTTAGGGGAAGATTTTACTGGAATTCTTCAGGTTTAGTGGAATATTTAACACAGAAATCTTTAGGATTTAGTTAAGATTCACTCAGAGTCAATGATTTCACTCAAAAGTTAGTAATTGCTTTTGCCTTAGGCTAAACCAATTAAACAGTGCATTTATTCCATACTCCTGACTGGAAAGATTGAAAAAGCCCTGGTCAAATAAGGATGACAGGCATTCTGGAATTCCGCGATGCCGCAATTTCGCGGAATTGTCTCCAAATATCGCGGAATTCAGTTTAAATCTCGGAATTTAAACTTTGGTAAAGTAATTTTTTTTATTTTTCCCTTAAATTTACAAAAAGATACATTTGTGTGATCTGATAAACAGGGATGGATCCAGCATTATCTGGTAGGGGGAGGGGTGCTCTGCCACCTCTGGTGCCGAGTTGTGTCGGTCATGTGTGCCGCCCGCCCATCAACTTGGTTCACTACTGCAAAGTCTTGTTTGACTACTGTATTTGAATTGTAATTGTTGTTCACACTTCGCTTAACATCATGCTATTACTCAAATTACTGTATTTCATTCTGTCTCTAATAATTTTTTGCTTTTCATGAACAATAGTGGAAGGACATTCATTGATATTCATCATTTCACTAGAAACTAACATTTAGTAGCATTTTAATTTTTGTAAGATTCTAGTAAGAGTAACTTCTAGTAAGTAACTTCTAGTAAGATTCCTGCAACTGCACCTAGGAACATCTGAGTTTTGTCCACAGAATTTTTTGTTTTGACCGCGGATGGCTGCAGAAATGTCATTTTGGCTGCAGAAATTACCTCAGAAATTTGGCGGAATTTACTATTTTTGCCAGCGGAATTCCAGAATGCCTGGGATGAGAGTTGACAAGCCAGAGTTTGCATGACAGTTTTCTCAACTCTCATGCCCTCGTCAAATGGGAACAAGAGTTGTGTGGGTGTTGACTGGGTATACATGTATATACCACGCATGTAGCAAATACTATCTTAAAAAGTTGAACCAGCTAGTTCAGAGTTAATGAGAGTTGAAAATGACACTCGTTGAAAACAATCTCTCTGAAAACGACAGCGTTCTGGTTCCGGCCATGCTTTTTTATTAGTTCCCGTCGGAACCAGAACTCAGAAAAATCAGGGTTCCGGCCGGAACTAACCGGTCGGAACTGAGTTCCGATGCACCCCTACTGTAAATCTCTAATCAACTCTTATCCTTGTTTGACTCGTTGACAGCCATTTTGTTTCTTTGTTGTTTTAGTTGACCTCAGTACCAGGCCTTAAAATATCTTTTGCAGGGCCGTCTGACAAACTGTCCGGTGACGTTGAGTTTGGGTCGGACATATGTCCGATGACCTTCAGTTCATTTTTGACTTGGAAACAAGTCTGAATGACACAAATGAATAAACGGTAAATGTTGTAAAGATATTAAATAATTTGTTTCTTTCATTCTTATTTCCAAGCCAAAATTAACTTGCTTTCCAGAACAGCAGTATTAAAAAAGACTTCGACAACTTAAGCCCATTTCCACTTCACTATTTCACTCGCCGCGCCACGCTCGACTACGTTAAAACAACATTTCCAGTTCACCTTTTATAAAATAGTACTCTGATTTTTCATTTAACATACAAGCCTCTAGTCCTGGGCTAGGGTACATTTTGATTTACGTCGGACAAAGCTACAGTTCGGTCGGTCACCAATACACTTGGGTCGGACAAACAATAAACCTCAGTTTTACTTAGGTCGGACAGAATGTCCGGTGGTTTTCTCTCTGCATCGGATAATTTCATGAATGGGTCGGACAATGTCCGTGACCAACCGATATTTTAAGGCCTGAGTACAATCATTGCCCCCTACCTGAGTCAATTTATTCTTAACATATCACGATTCATCATGTAACCCAAGTCACAGAATAAGGCACACAGAAGGTCGACTCTAGTAACCGCTACCACACCATGATTCATCATCAAAATGCTGACGTCATGGTCCAAGCCAGTGCACATTTGAGAGGCATTCCCCCCCCCCTGGATGTCCACCATTTTGAATAATATCAGGGGGGTGAATGCCTCTCTAACGTGCACTGGCTAGGACCATGGCGTCAGCATTTGATGACGAATTACGGGTTACGCTAAAATCATAGGAAAATCATGGGAAAACCCAAGAAGTCGGCCTTCTGTGTACCTTATTCTGTGCCCAAGTGCAGACTAATATACAGTACCTGCATGAATAGTCCCTGCTCCTCTGCATGTTGGACATGGCACAGTATCCCTATCAGCCAATGGATTTTCATCGCCAAGAACATTAGTATGTCCAGCTACCTGTATATCACAATTAATTGGCGACCCTACATTAGTATGCATATTCCCATTTTCACGCCGAGGTAACGGCATGTTTCTGTCTTTTATTTCTTTATATTTTATATCTTCGTTTTCAGGTGTATTAATCCTATTGTCACCATTGAGTAAACATTTCATTTGAGGATTTTTAGCCATCAACAAGTGATTTTAAAAAAGGAGTATCCACATATCTAAAATGTAGAAGGAGAAAATTCTATCACGCTTATTAAATATTCACGCATCGCTGCATTTTGCAATCGTCCTGCTCAGAAAGCCACCCCCGGAAAATGTAATTCAAACTAGTGAAAAACACAGATCTGCCGGGGGGGGAGAGGAAACAATTATTTTGACTAATGCTTATATGAAGTATAGACCTTTATAATTCAAGATGGCGGCCTCCTCTTGCAGGTTTGCGTTGAAATTTGGGCGTTTAAAATGTGTAAGTGACTTGAAACCTTTTCTTTTCAATTTAATTTGGTTGTATTTAAACTATGCGTCTTCGTTTTCCCATCACAACAGGATAGTCGGCTTAATTTACAGTTTCAGCCTTTTAGATCTAACTCATTTGAGGCTTTTATATGTATTATTAAAAAAATTATACGAAGTGACTATATGACCGGCAGCCGGTCACGGTTTATCAAATACTAAATGGCCGGCAGTCCAGTGACTATTGTTAAAGTTGAATTTTTATAATATAAACCTATCCCCAACCCCAAACCCTTTTCTAACCCTAACCCCTAACCCTAACCTTTTGAGAGTTAGAAAAGTCGGAAAAAAAAGTTTGAAAAATTTTAAGAAAAAACAATGCTAAGTCAGACAAAACACATCCCGACCCCGACTGCGTTTAACTTTTCGCACGCAGCGCCCTTGCCGTATGAGCTAACGGCAAGCTCGGTAAAAGTTAACGCAAACAAAAGTTTTTATATTCAACTATAGTCACTAGACTGCCGGCCATTTAGTATTTGATAAACCGTGACCGGCTGCCGGTCATATAGTCACTTTGAAAATTATACATCAATAGTCAATGGGCTATTCCATTTAATATCCGTACACCCCCTGTCGAGGATACATGTTTTTCATTGTTATACCCCTGAAGAATTCCAAGCTCAAAACCTTTTACCCCTGAAGAATTCCAAAATTCCAAGCTCAAAATCCTTTACCCCTGAAGAATTCCAAGCTCAAAACCATTTACCCCTGAAGAATTCCAAAATTCCAAGCTCAAAACCCTTTACCCCTGAAGAATTCCAAGCTCAAAACCCTTTACCCCTGAAGAATTCCAAGCTTAAAATTTTTTACCCCTGAAGAATTCCAAGCTCAAAACCTTTTACCCCTGAAGAATTCCAAGCTTAAAACCCTTCAGCCCTGAAGAATTCCAAGCTCTGAAAAATATCAAAGTCAAACCTCTTTACCCCTGAAGAATTCCAAGCTCAAAACCCTTTCCCCCTGAAGAATTCCAAGCTCAAAACCCTTTACCCCTGAAGAATTCCAAACTCAAAACACTTTACCCCTGAAGAATTCCAAGCTCAAAACACTTTGCCCCTGAAGAATTCCAAGCTCAAAACCCTTTACCCCTGAAGAATTCCAGGGATCCTCGACAGGGGGGGTGGTACGGATATTAAATGGATAGCCCAATTCGGTACTTTACATTTGTAGTCGGAGAAAGTTGACGAAATGTTATTTTATAATGTTTGCCGTGGATAGAGGTCCTATACAGGATCCCAATATGCTATGGCTATTTATAATTTACACAACATTATGCACCAGTCAAAGTAAACCCCGACCTCCCACCCAGGACAAAGAGGGGACTTGGTGGGGATTTAGTGGCTTTTTGTCATCGAATTCTGTCCCAACCATGTCGGGAATTTGTTGGTTTTGTCATTCTGCCGAATTATGCCGGGAGATAATGGGGATTGTTAGGGGATTGTCTGCGGCCATTTTGTACTATTTGTACTGTTTTGTCCAATGGAATCCCCAGGTTCTACCATTTTATACCATGTGACAAAGGACAAAATGGCGTGCTCGTAAGGAAATGAAATCGAGAGGAATTTTATAAATATATTATTAATTTAATTTCTTTTTAATATATATGTTAATACCGGTTAATATGTCCATCCATCCATGGAATCTATTGTTGTGGAAAGCTCGACATTTGTTTGTTTATATTAATATGTTTTTATCGTTCTTTTGAGTTTTGGAACAAAATATTAATATTTTAAAATGTGGACGGTTTATGCGGCGGCCCGGAGATTGTCGAGGAGATATTATGCAGGAGATAAATTCACTCACATGACTTACAATTTCCCCCCGGGGGGTGGGGCATTTTTTGTCTTTTGCTAGAACATTTTGTCCCATATTGTGGGGTATTTGTCTGTTTTGGTACGGTATTCAAAACCAATCCCCACCTATATCCCGGGGTGAGGGGGGTTGGGGTTTACTTTGACTGGTGCATTACACGTGCATGTTTATAGGCTATAGTGCCTTCATTAAGGCCATAGGAATGAAAGTATTAGAATACCATCCGAAAATATTTGAAAAGTAATGCGGGTTTTTTCATTATTTATTATTTAGCAATTTTGATTAGAACATATATTCAGTGTGGAAGATAACGGTCGGCAATCGGCCATTTGCTGAACAAAAACAACAAATGGCCGATCAACTTTATTCTGGTCAGCCATTTTGACCGATCAAATATATACAAAGATTCCAATACTAAAATTCGATTACGAAGACCCAATCAAAGTGCTCGGAGGCCGAAGACCCAGAACTATCTTTTTCACTAAGTGACTGGGATACTTGGTTTGGCAACAGTGATGAGTCAGACGAATGAATTCAAACGATATAATCGAACATTAAATTCTTAAAAGTAGAACCTGTTGTGTTTATGCACAGTACTTTACACCAAGACGTTTATATTCCAGCCGTTATGTTCTATCTCCTATATAAAGAGTTAAGATTGGCCATTTTACTTATGCATACACTTAGGCCTCTTTTACTGTACACAAGCAAATTTTCTTTGCTAAGGTTAGCTGTCAAGTTGTGACAAGTTTTATTTGCCTGTGTGTATGGAGAAATGTTGCAAGTACGTTTTTCTTTGACAAGTTTATTTGTTGCCATATTTCTCCATCACACCCCGGCAAATAAAACTTGTTAAAGTAAAACTTGGCAAAGAAAATTTATATAACAAATTAACAGTTTTATTAAGATTTAAAACTCGCGCCGGCGCCGCGTCCTCGAATCGAGTGTGGTGTGTCCGTGTGTGGCAGCGTACATTTGTTCTAACTTTGTAGGTTTCTATATAGGACATTTCCATGTAAATAGAGATGTATGACGTTTGTGATTTCATGTTTTGTATTAACTTTCATCGATATAAATGTTTCTAAAGTTATCTCATGCAGTATCGTGTAAAAAATTATTAAGAAAGTTGGCCGACCATTCTTGGCAAATGTCCGACCAACTGACCAGTTGATCGGACATTTGTCCGACCAAAGCGAAATCGTTATAATCCACACTGCATATTTTTTGGTGTGTAAAAGAGCGATTTTGAAGGTTCCTCCCGCAATAAAGTCATGCGTAGTTCGTCTTGGCGGATTATGCATGACACTTTATAGGAACCAGGGCCGGATTAACCATGTGGCAGATGCGGCATATGCCGCGGCCCTCGCGCTTATGGGGGCCTCACGCTTTACTGTGCCACGCCCATTGTTACGAGAACACGCCCATTTTCTATTGGGACACGCCCATTTTAGGTGCCTTGCGAATTCAGATGCCACCTCGCGCATTTAGGGCCCCTAGGCTTGGCAGTTGGCTCCAAGAAAATATGCAATACCTGTATGCATGTATAAATCTCCAGTTGTGCTGAGCTGCTATATGATCCTGTTTATACTTGTTGACCCAACGACTGGGCCAGGCAGGCCATTGTCAGCTACCGTTGTCGATGGAGGCTTTATTATTTAGCATTATTAATTTTGCACTTTCCCATTGATTCTTAACCTGCATTTTTTACGTCTTCTAGTTCTAATTTTCTGGGCAATAGGCTGTGGCTGATGGGGGCCCCTAACTGTCGGAGTTTTTTAACTAACCCTACCTAATGAGCGATATCCCAGTCTGCTAAGCTGCATATTATATCATACACAAAACCGAACATTGTTCATTTATTTATTTAATTGTCACATAAACAAATATTATAAAATGAATTTAGACTTTTTTTGTGTGTATGCAGGCATGAAAAATGCTTAACTGGAAAGCAGCCTTTAAGCACTGAGATTCCCAGCAACAAAAGTGTGGTATGGTGACATGCTAAATTCACCTTGTTGACATACACTCCGGCATGCTTGAAATACAACCAATTGTTGCTAGTTGTATTAACATTATCCTCAACAGTCAAAAGCAAAAACGAAACATACAGTAGTACACTGACTACACTCTAAGAACATGGGTAGAATGTCTTTTCGGCTCAGTTAGTCTACTGGACTGGTTACCAAATTGGAATATGGTCCATCCAGTCAGTATTAGGGGTGCACTGATTAGTTCCAGTGTTCCAGGAAATTTGGCCCCCTAGCTTTCAGTAAATCCCCTTACAGTAAATTCCCCCCACCGCAGGCCTTAAAATATCTTTTGCAGGGCCGTCTGACAAAATGTCCGGTGACGTTGAGTTTGGGTCGGACATATGTCCGATGACCTTCAGTTCATTTTTGACTCGGAAATAAGTCCGAATGACACAAATGAATAAACGGTAAATGTTGTAAAGATATTAAATAATTTGTTTCTTTCATTCTTATTTCCAAGCCAAAATTAACTTGCTTGCCAGAACAGCAGTATTAAAAAAGACTTCGGCAACTTAAGCCCGTTTTCCACTTCACCATTTCGCTCGCCGCCCCGCGCTCGACAACGTTAAAACAACATTTCCAGTTCACCTTTTATACAATAGTACTCTGATTTTCCATTTAACATACAAGCCTCTAGTCCTGGGCTAGGGTACATTTTGATTTACGTAGGACAAAGCTACAGTTCGGTCGGTTACCAGTACACTCGGGTCGGACAAACAATAAACCTCTGTTTCACTTTGGTCGGACAGAATGTCCGGTGGTTTCCTCCCTACGTCGGACAATTTCACGAATGGGTCGGACAATGTCCGTGACCGACCGATATTTTAAGGCCTGCCCCCACCCCATATTTCCGAGGATATTTGCCCACCCGTCATATTTCTGAGGAAATGTGTACCCCAGGAGGACATTATTCCTGGGAAATTGGACAAATCCATTTATTAATCCAGTCTTAAGATAATCATGACATAATCGAGTTTTATAACCTTGTAAATGCTGAATTACTGCATGTACATGTACTTTAGACGACTCAGGCAATTAGCTTACACCTGGGCACGTCGCTCACGATTTCCCAAAAATTTGCATGAAAGCAGGTGGTTATAATTTAGACCTCGCATAGTTTCACTATTTATTAAGGAATCCATATAAGTCAGGGTTGTCAAGCTGAGCACATAAATCATAATAAATCTATAGTGCAGTTTTTTATGTAAAATCCACCATTTGGATTTAGTTGATGACCATGACGAGATTTTTGCGGTTAATGACCTAAAATAATGAGTATTTTTGCCATGATTGTTTTTGTGTGTCAATTTCACTACTCAAACTAAACAATTTCCAACAAACCAAAACACAGTGATTTGTTATCTTTCAGCTGAACACTGCAAACACATGGCTGACTACACGGTTACTGTCAAGTCTACCCAAAGAAAGTCAACATGTTGCACCCAGATATGACTTTGTGGACAAATATGATTTCGCAATTTATGCCCGTGGTCCTGGTAGCCTGAAAGCTAAGACCATAGAAGCGGCAAGGATATCCATAGTACGAAAGACCAAAACTCGGCAAATGTGGAAAATCGAAGCAACAACACCTGTAACGAAGAAACCACTTGGAAGTCGCATGGGAAAAGGACAGGGCAAAGTAGATCATTACGTGGCGGAAGTCAAAGAAGGTCAAGTTGTTTTTCAGTTTAATTGTGAAAATGAAACTCAAGCCAGTGAAGCTTTCAGACTGGTGACTTTCTTACTGCCTATGAAACTTTATCTCAGAAAACGTCCTCCGACCAATAAGATATTGTGGACAGAATTTTAGACCATAGGTATTAAATTCCATTACTGCCTGGTGCCTACAACAAACGCAATAAAACAAGTTTATCGACACAGTCTATTGTTCTTAATTATCTTCAAAATGGAGCTGTAGTATGGAAATGTTTTTATATAAATAGATTGTTGTGGTTCAATACAACGTCACCTTGGCTATAGAGCTTCATTTTCGTGATAGCCACGTTGGACTTTAACTAATAGGGAGCTTAAGATGCACCAAATCTGCGGCGCGGACGCGACTAGAAAACAGTCGCTAATAATAAGAGACTAGTTTTACTTTGTTTTTCTCGTGTCCCTGGCTTTGTTTACCAACAACAATCCATAGTTTTTATACCCGTGAAGCAGGGCTCGAATTTTATCGCGGCAATTGCCGTAGAGGGAGAACAAAATGCCGTGGATCATTGCGTATAGTGTAATTTTTATACTATTCACTGCGCATTACTACTTTGATACTGATCCTACTTTGATGTTGATCAAATCATGCGCAAATTACTATTTTAGTCAGTTTTCTTCGAGAAAAAACACTAAAGAAATATTACGTAGTCGTAGACATGTTTCTAGCTTGCCAAAAATCCAAACTATTAACAATGAAATTAAAGTTTTATTACAGTAATTTGAAAAATGCCGTGGAAACTGCCAAAATTGCCGTAGACAGCTGCTATGTTCTACGGCAATTTTTAACGCCATTGCCGTCGATTGATTTAAGGGAAATTCGAGACCTGCCGTGAAGTGAAACTGATAATAACGGCAGTTTTTCGTCACGTCCGCGTCGTAGATTTGGTGTATCTTAAGGCCGGTTTACACGGGCAATTTTTGCTGCGATTTTAGTTGGGAATTTTCTCCTTTTGGAGGATGCGAAGGAGTAGATGAGTTATAAATGTTCCAGGTTGTGAAATCTTATAACAACATCTTAAATAATCTACTCCTTCACATTCTCCAAAAGGAGAAAATCGCAACTAAAATCGCAGCAAAATGTCACATGCACGAAAACGAGGCTTTATGGCCTGCTCGCAGGTCAATCGAAATTTCGGACAAATGGTGCTCTCTCACTTTTAATATTTATTAAAATATTGATTGACTTTAGACTACAATATCTATAGTATAATATACAAATCATACCCAGTATTAGTCGTGTTGCCCTGCTGACCATCTAATCATATTATTTTACTTATTTCTAACTATATACACGTAATAGACTGTTTATTGCAAAATACACTCTTTCCCTAACAGCCTCGTTTTCATGTGGTTACTTCCTCATGTTTCGTACATAATACAGTTAAGGATGGCCGGATAGGTTTAATTGGGCTCAAGATCAAGGAGAAACATACTCGTAGACGGCACATGGGGATATAACTTTTATGGCTTATGCATAGATATTTTATGTGCTCATCCTCGTTCTCAGGGCCTCTCGGCCGCGCGCGACCTTCATAGGCCCTGGAATACACGGAACCGGAAGTGCAAGAAATCTTGCAGTAGTTTCTAAAGCGCATACTCTTGAATTGGGACGCTTTAGCACCCGTAACAATTTTCACAGAGACGTATTACGAAGAAACGAAGTATTTGTGTTGACATATTTTGATAGAATAATTTTGCCTAGCGAAAACTGCTCAACATCTGGGAAATAGCAGTTCTCTGAGAAGCCAATCTCTCCCTGGCTTTAGTCCTCTAACCCAGAGCCTAATTTTCAACGAGTGAAGGAGTAAAAATGGCTTTGTGGACGAGAATGTTATGTGAAAACAGGCAAATATGGAAACGAGACCATTGGGGCAAAAGTGCGACAAACAGTAAAGTCTATTGACCATTAGAATAACAATCACGATGGGACTACATAAGTCATAACCAATCATACTACGTTTGGCAAATTATTAACACGGTGTGGTTGTAATATTATGACTTCATTTTGCCATGTCTGCAAAAAATATAAAAGAAGAATCATTACATAAATTCCACATTCAATTGTAGCTGGTCTTAACGAATTTAGATTCATGATATTTATACTATTGCAAGGAAAGTGTTGCCTCTGGCCCGATGCTACCGATATATTGTGTGCCCAGTCATTGTGCGATTTATAAATAACCCAGTGTCTTCATTCAAATTCTGAAATTTGGATCCGAAATGAATAATTTCAATACTCAGACTACGTTCACACTACGCAGGTGCGAAATAATGACGCCATGTTTTACGTCTGCATGTTCACACGAAGCCGTTAGAGTTTCGGTACGGATTCGCAAAACGAGCTCAAGTAGTAAAAAAAAATAATAAAAATATAATAAAAATGCTAAAGTAGAGCAAGATAAAGACGGTGCCGCTGTTCACTAGCCTCGTACCCAGGCGCTTATAAGGAAAATCGCGCTAAGTAAGCACTTCAGTGTTCAGTGGTTAAGCGTTGTTGAAGTGCTTGCTTAGCGCGATTTTCCTTATGAGCGCCTGGGTACGAGGTTAGCTGTTCACACAAAGCCGCTAAGCGCTCCGTTTTCATTTCACTCCGTTTTTGAAACCAAACTCAAATTTTTCTATGTTGGTGTTGTGTACTCAGGTGAATATGATGTTTGTGATGTTACTCTGAGTGTATATCCACACCGGGCGAGCTTGAAAAATATACCCGGCCGCGGTGGGAATCGAACCTACGACCTTTGGAATACTAGCCCAATGCTCTGCCAACTGAGCTACGCGGTCAGGACGGTTCGAGTTAGTGATATTTCGGAACAGAATCTAGTTCCTTCGATACCAATGTAATCTAGTAATATGATTTTTCTATGTTGGGCTAGTATTCCAAAGGTCGTATGTTCGATTCCCACCGCGGCGGGCAGCTCGCCCGGTGTAGATATACACTCAGAGTAACATCACAAACATCATATTATTCACCTGAGTACACAACACCAACATAGAAAAATCATATTACTAGATTACATTGGTATCGAAGGAACTAGATTCTGTTCCGAAATATCACTAACTCGAACCGTCCTGACCGCGTAGCTCAGTTGGCAGAGCATTGGGCTAGTATTCCAAAGGTCGTAGTTTCGATTCCCACCGCGGCCGGGCATATTTTTCAAGCTCGCCCGGTGTGGATATACACTCAGAGTAACATCACAAACATCATACTCAAATTGTTACGACAAAAGTGACGTTTTCACACAATTTCGCCCCAGCGTAGTGTGAACACGACGGCGGTGAACCCGGCGTAGTATGAAGTACGAACATAGTCTCAGAATCAGTCAAACAGTCTAGTAATTGTTTTGTATCTTATTGACTATACAATAATGTATTTCGAACTATTAAAATTAAAATTTATTTTATGTAAATATATGCTTTATTCCTACCTTCCATTGCATAATAATATAAGGTTTTGTACAGCACATAAGGTAGACTGATCATTTTGCCCTGTTATAACATGGCGGTCCATAACCACATGAACGGCATCACATTCGCTGGCTAAAATATAAACCAATTAAATTAACGTTTCATGCATCATCCCCCACCTTGACTTAGCCTGCTTACCCTTGCCTCTCACAACAAGCATACTCAATATCAAACACACGACTACACTGTTTTCAACTTAGGACCGCCTTAAATGGAATGGATTTTAAGTTTGTTTCTCACGGGCTATGGTCAGAGAAGCAGAACATCCTTCTTCAACACATGCATAAAAACGAATTGATGTAATAGAGATGCGAAAAATTTAATTTTTGCATACTAAAGATGCAAAAAATTCCTGCCAGAGATATAATCTTCAACTCGGAATTTCTATCTACAAAAACCCTTCAACTAAACACGGTAGTGCATGTATTTTCTTACCACTGTACGTCCCTCCATGATCCTTTATGAAATCTTCCGCAATTATAGGAAGGGAGTTAAAATTCTCAGCTCTAGCTAATTCAAACAAAGATGGCTAGATTGAAAAAAAAAATGAAGAAAATGACCAAGGGTTCATCAAATCAAGTAATTGGTGTTGGGAAGACAATTTCTAAGAAACTTACAGCTGTCAAAGAATAATTCTTGAAACTCCATGATGATTTGTTGTTTTCATTCTTTGCTGAAAATAATGCAGCCACGCCGTATCCCACAGCACAAATTGGTTCTGAAAAAAATACTTTGTAAGAAATATCGCGAAATGTTCAGGTAAAGCGGATAGTGGAAATAGAGGCAGAAACTTTCTGTATTTCTTTCTGTGCAAAATATGGTGCAAATGACACGAAAAACCTATCTGTGCGGCCTTTTCTACGTATGCTTGAATTGCATGAACATGCATTTTTTTCCATGAGTAGGGGATTGCTCGAAATTTTTTTTGATTTCTGCAACCTCCCCCTAAAATATCGAATGGTCCGTCCCTTACTTGATGAAAGCTAAATTTCTGAATATTCCGACATGGAATCGGACCGAAGGGCTTTATACGCTAAAACTGGGGAGGGACATTGGGTTCCGTTTGGGATCTCTCCATATTAAACTCTCAGTGGACACCCAAGTTTAGTAGCAAGTTAATATTCCTGCAATTCCGAGGACAAGATACAACACTTACTTTTCTGTTCAATAAAACGGTTTAACAAGCCCGCCATGACTTCATTCTCAGCTAAATCATATAAAGCACCCGGGGAACTTGGTATAAGTATCGCAGAAAACCTAGATGCTGAAAAATAATTTTTGGGGGTCAGGAAAGTTACAGCAAATGGGAGAGTAGACACAGGGAATAGAAGAGTTTAAGTAAATACAGAAAGTGCTTATTTTTCCGGTCACTGAAACCAACGAGCTTTGGCTATTTGTCCGTGAATTAATTTGATTAGAGAGCTTATAAGCTTCGCGTTATACGTCAAACGGCAAATGCCAGGCGAAAAAAGATTTTACAGTATCAGGCAATAAAGAGTAAATGAACTTGCTGTTTTAAAACTGAAATACATAATTATTCTTTCGACGCAAGAAAGAAAATATGAAACGAAAACGTTCAACGAAAATTTTGCCAAGAAAGTTCGAACCTGCCGTTTATCGTTTCCAGAAATGTGAAGATTAAACTCCCTATTGGTTCATTTCTTCGTTCTGTCAGCTTACTAAAATGACTCTCTCCTCCGCAGAGGCTTTAGTTGACTATGATTACGATTAGTATTGAGACACATTTCACTACACTTTACATGGCGGATCGTGGAACACGAGCGGAGAAGCTGGGCGAAGGAGCGCAGGCGGGAAAGGGCGAAGGCAAGGAAAGACGCGAAGCCTCTTCACGATTTGCCTAATAAAGTGGGACAAAGTGTAACATCGAAACAAAAGGTGATTTTTAAGCTAAATAACATACGCCTTTTTGAAAATAAATTATAATTTAATGCATGATTGATTCACCTCACTGACTAGTGGTTGTATCTTTGTGGATGCATGGTTAAAAGTAATAAGAGTTTGTTTAAGAATTTATTAAACTCGCCAGGCAAAAGTATGTTCGGAATGAAATCTAGACAAGGTCACGTTTGTTTATAAATATTGCTGAAGTAGAAATAGTTGAAATGGTATTTTCAGTCTTGATAATAAATTTAATAATGGTTCTGTATGCTACATACTCATTTTTTATTTATTTAAAATTGTATTTAATACAAATATAAATTTCTCTGCTTATATTTACAAGTATTTAAGCAAGCAATGTTTACTTCTTCTCTTCGACTTCGTTTCTCGGACAAAACCATTATACTCGACAGAGTTTCTTCGCTTGCATATTGCCGAACCAAAGCATCGCCTTCTACCAAAACCTGTTCGCTAAATACGTTGTTTCTATGCATTGTTTTACAGTGTAAACTAGATGGAGACCTTGTCTGGAAAAAATAGCAGATGTTTTCTCGGAAACTGGAAATAACATTTTCTTATTTCGTAGAACTAGTAAATAATCTCTTTGTGAGCTTGTTGCAGTATTATAAAGAGATCTTTTATGTTGCGTTTGATAATTATCCTCCCCTCGGTTTACTGCCATATTGGGTGTGGAATCGTGCAGAGGCTTCGCGCCTTCCCTCGCCTTCTCCCTTTTCCGCCTGCGCTCCTTCGCCCAGCGACTCCGCTCGTGTTCCAAGATCCGCCATGTAAAGTGTAGTGAAATGTATCTCAATACTGACCGTAATCATAGCCAACAAAGCCTCTGCGGAGGAGAGAGCTTTATTGTGTGAAACAACCGCCTGGTCATTTCAATCAACCAATCAAATTAATTCATGGACAAATAGCCAAAGTCGTTGGTTTCCGTAACTGAACAAATAACAACTTCGTTAATTATGATAAAGATTAATTATTGCCAATCGCATAGCAGGAAATAATGGTGGAACCTGACATCTAGGATCTGATTTCAGACCTGACTAAGCTGACAGAAACTTTAGGGCATTGCATAATCCCTGACAGACACAGAAATAATTTATTAGGAAGAATTAAAATATTAAACTTAGGATCCCAGAAACAAAAATATTATTTCCTGTTATGACCAACCGTGTAGCAATCTAGAATATATCATATTAGTCACACATACTAGCCGGATGGTAGTGTCGCAAAAACGTTAGCGTAAACATACGGGTCTCAACAAGTACAAGGCCTTTGGCTCATTTGGCCATATTAAAACTTCTAAATACTTTCACATGCATTCATTTTGTCTTGTTAGCAGTTTGTTGTTTTTCTATATTTTTGTATATTCCCACGTGCAGATTCATTTTGTCTTGTTAGCAGTTTGTTGTTTCTCTATATTTTTGTATATTCCCACGTGCAGAAAAATGTTTAAATCAAAATATTATTATTAATACCAAAGAAGCACCAATCGGGGAAGGAACTGTATGACATCAATATATAGCTGAAAATTGGATTTATTAAAAAGCGCGCATGTTTATAGACCAATCATGGCGCACCAACCTTGAATGTTTTCCAGTTTGCCAGGAACTGAAATTGTTTTCGTTCTAAATTCATTGATCCATCTCTTGCTACTGTCGTCAGACCTGATGTACTCAATCTGGCGACCCTTCAGTTGAGAAATTTGAAATCACAAAAAGTTGCCGAGCGGACATAAACAGGACTAGGTTAACACCCTCTTTATAATTCACATATATATTTTCCTGAAGAAATATATATTTGTCCTTTTACTTTATTGAAGTTGTTACGGTTTTTCAGATGTGCTTTAATTTTTTATTTAATACAGTAGCCTTTCCGTTTGTACCAGCAACAGGGACGCAGGAACCAGGTACGTGCCCCATTTTTCAAAGGACTAAAAGTGTCCTGTTTTGTGATGAAAAGTGCCCTTTTTGTACACGCTAATGTCACTGTAAATACTAAATTAACATCAAAGGTGCCCTTTTTGTTTCGAAATTTCCATGTTTTCTAAAAAAAATTTGGTCGAAAACGTACAATTTCGGTATGGTATGACGGTAAAATTTTTCTTCACCCCCTTGGACTAGCAATTTAAACCCCGTACAGAAGAGCAAGATTTCCTTGACACGTTTACTTTCTCGTGTGTACGGTCAACAAGCTTTCCTTGACAAGTTTCCATTGACAAGTTTTGTTGCTCGTGTGCTCGGAATGTTCTTAAAAAATTATCTCACGTCAAAATTGCCTTTTTGTTTGCAAAAACCACAGAAGTATTTTTATGTACACTTGCATGTCAAAAATTTGAAGTTGAAAACTTCTAACTTTTGAACTTTTAACAATGATATTTTCGGAAAATTTTCTGTCCGTGGAAATTTTTCTTGAGTGCAAATGGACTGTGTAACACAGCTGGAACAATAATTTTTCAACTATAAAAACATTGATAGGCTAAACATCAAGCTATATACTGCGTGAAATGTAAGGCAAAAAATTTAAAATACTGTGTATGACTAAGATTTCCAGCAACAAATGGTGGTCCCCCCCCCCCCCCCGACGTAGTTCCGACGTTTCCGTCGCTGAATCCGAAAACCAATTATTAATACTTACACTGACTGACACCGCGTGAGTAACATTAATGAAAAGATAGTTCCCAAGTTACTAGACTCAGTATACAAGACTCAGTATACTATACAACATTTAAATTACAATATGGCTATAAACACCAAGCTCAGACAATCACACATTCACTGGAACATCTCAATAAAGAAATATAATTGCATAATTTGCTTGTTTCACTCCTTATAATGAATTTTAATATGCAAAGTACACTACATATACTGTATCCAAATATCCCCAGGTGATATTTTTCCTTGAACAGCAAATACTACATCACGACGAGAGGAATAGGGGAGATATTCAATACTGGTGCATCACTACCTGTACAAAAATACTACAACAGAATAGTGCAACTTACAGTAAGAACTAAATGCGATATTTAACAAGATAGTACCTGAGGTGTAACAATTTGAACATTGAATGTTGAGTTTGTCAAGGTAAATGCATGAATAAATGATGACGCAGACACACCTTGAAAGAATAGCGAAGTTATTATTAATAATTATTATTGAAGTTATTATTAATAATAATTATATTAAGAAATATGTCTCTATCTGTCTGTCTGTGTGCTTGCTATCCCAGGTATGGTAAAAGAACTATGTGACTGTATACTATGCATAAATTATACTATGCATGAATACAGAATTTGACTCATTAAGGAGGGGGGGTGAGGGGGGGGGGGGGGGGCGGGTTCCCGTTAAACCTGTATACAGCTATTTCAATTAAGGATGTCCCCCGAGCAAAGCGGAAAAGTCGAATACGAGCGCGAAAGGCTGCTGGGAATATAAATGAATGAATTTATTAGCGATTCCCAGCAGCCTTTCGCGCTCGTATTCGACTTTTCCGCTTTGCTCCGGCGACAACCTTAATTGAAATAGCTGTATGCACTATTAAGCTCATCCTAGGCTAACAGTTCTATGCCACATCCTGATTTTAGTTGGCAAACAACGCATCTCCTGCTCGTGATTTTAGAAGTTCAATTCAAATCCCCACAAACATGTCATTATAACAAATCATGCTTTGACACTCATTTATTTTGTAACTGACGCTCTTTTGTATTATAACCTGTCACAACCCTTTCAAACACTCAATTTGCAACCAAGATACATGCTATACAAACCAGATAAAACCTACATAGACTCAGGGTAAACATAACCAAGGTACAGTAAAATGTACATACAAAACAGATACGATGCAAGAGCTAGTATGCGGCAGCCAATGAAGTTCAAGGTTGTATAAGTTTGATGGACATTAAACTGAAGAGTTTCAACTGAAGAAGTTGTGCTTGTGATGCAGTACTGGTCATCACTTGTTGGGCAGATTTTAAATTTTTAGGTGAATAGCAATATTGCCAAAATTGAACAAACTGAATATACTGTACTTATATCTACCAGCTATATGACAGGGGTCATATATTACAGCTGTAATATTCAGTAAAACCTGAAATCAGCCAAAAACTGCAATGCTCGAAGATAAACTTACTGGAAATGTAAAGTGATGTTCAATACGTACTGGATTTAAGCTACAGTAAGTTAAGGTAAGATTCTTTGCTTACAGAATTAGTATATAGGTAATCATGCGATGGCGAGTACAATTAGGGATTAATAGTATGAGTGGTGTTTGGAAATTTGGCCAAAATTGGACAATTATTGTACTATTTTAAAATCCCTAATTGTACGGGCAACATCGCATGATTATTTGTTGATTATTAGCACGACAAAATTAGATAATTCTCAGTGTCAACATCATATATTCTCTCGCCAAAGCCCAGTCCTGCCAGATTTTCAACCAAAACTTGGTGCTTTTATTCGTATTTTCATTTAGTTCTTTTGCTTTAAGTTCCTCTGCAGGGCAATTTCATTTGTGTTTAAATACCTTTCTACCATTTTGTTTGTTTTGGGAAAATAATTATTGTGCTGCAGTACAATTAATGAAATAATTCTACTCTCTCAACCAATCAGCATCCAGTAATTTTGTCATGCTAATAATAAATGCATAACCCATTATACTAGAGTGCAGGGCTCGAAATAGCGGGCTGCCAATGGCCAAAAGCAGGCCATATTTTAGAAATGGCAGGCAAAAATAAATTTGAACTGCCAAGTAAAAAAAAATGGCAGGTGAAATTCTATAGAATTGATATATTTCATTTCATTTGCTTACCACAACTCATATAATTATACTAGATCATTTAGTTGACTAAATACGTTTATGTTTGAAATGTAAAATAGTGTAAATCCAAGTTTACTGTAGTAAAATAGACAAGTCTAAAAATAATAAAAATGCATATGATGAAAATATTGATTTTTACAATATGACTCATACAGGTATGAGCCATTGCCATTTGGCCATTCAATGAATAAAAATGGCCAGCTAAAATTTACATGTATTTCACCTGCCAAAAAATTTTAAACTGGCAGACCATATTTTTTCTCTATTTCGAGCCCTGCTAGGACAACCTCGTTCCAAGAGGGAAGAGCCTAGGAACAAGGTTGCTGCTAGGGTGGATTCTGCAGCAAGAATTTGGAGATCTCTGGTGAGGATCAAGTTATGATACAGCTTAGAGTATCGGCATAAGATTTTCATTTCTAGCCAGTCTGTGTGTTGGCTTAGTACATTTCAGTCTTTTGGTATGTTCTCTACTGATCCTTTTCAAACACTGAATGTATTAAATTATATATTACAATTTTAAATGTGAGAACATCTCAAGGCTTCATATTTGTGGATCATGTGCATGTAATGCACATCCCGTGTCACCGGCGATTATGCACATGCAATTAGCCTTTCCCAAAAAAGATCACAGTGCATTCTGGGATCGTTTGGAGGGACAAAATATATGGTGACAGGCGTCAAATATGTGAAGGAGTAGAAGTATCTAGTACTATCAAATATCAACTTTTTAGACGAAAATGAAATATTTCCTTTTTACATTAAACATTTGATTTAAATGTGTGTTAGCTGCCATATTTCTTGTCCCTCCAACATGGTCATGGGATTCGCATGACTAGACCCAGGACTTTGGAACATGGCCATAGTGGAAAGTAAGGGACTTAAGCAAGAGATCTCCTGCGGAAGGAACAAGGTAAAAAATTCTATTGCGGAAATATTTTGCGGAAGAAAAACGTAAAATAAAACTTGCAGAAGAAAATGTAAAATAAAAGTTGCAGAAAAAAATGGAAGTCAAAATTTGCGAATTAGGCAAAGATTGCTAAAGCCAAAACAACATATTCTCTATTGTAAATTGACTACTGACAACAATACCAGAGCTCTCTTCGCCTGCGCAGATTGCAAAAACATTTCCCCACCTGGATGCAAGCAAGGCAAGGGGCTTTGATTGAGCCAGTAGTCACTGGATAGCAGTTCATAGCACATTTATAATATAAAATATTTATAATATGAAGTGTCTTGCTTTTTCACTATAAATAATACTACACACGTAAAAACGCTCAGGTTGATGCAATACTGATGAAAACAGGATTGAACAATGTTTTGCTGCCCACATTGTTCATAGCTGTCAACAATATTTTAATATTGTAAATATATATATTTAAAAATATATTGTTACACCCGATTCAGGCTCAACAATATTGTTCATTATTATTTATTTAAAAAAATCCTGGTTTCTGATTGGCTAACAGCCAACTGTGAAATTGTCATATCAACTCAATCACTAACCAAATACGGATTTTTCACATTCATACTAGCAAAATTACATCAAAGAGTCAATATGAAAAAAATTTGGACGTGTTTGCGCCATATTACTATGACGATGAGAATCATATTGACTCGCTGACGCCATTGATATGATGCAACAACGGTTGCCGAAGGACTAAGGAATTGTTTTTTTCTTAATACAACTAAAATACAAATGTTTGTATAAAATAAAAATAAATAATAAATAATTTTTTTATTAAATAAATTTTTTATTAAAATATAATAAAACAATTAATTATTGAATTCGGTTTTCGGACAATATGAAGAATTATCAAGCCCTCAGTTTTCTGTTATCAACCTCAGCCCAGTCTGCATTCTATATTTTGTCCCCGCCACATATTTCCGCCAGCATTTTTTGCGAAAATAAATTCCCAGCCAGAAGCTGAAAAAAACTTGACATTATCCTTCCGCCAACCGCCATCTACTGATGGAATAAAAATCACACTGGAAACCTTTGTTTTAAAGATGATACGAATGAGTCGGTCAGAGTCAGACATGACAGATAATCAATCTTGGCTTGTAAATTTATAAACAAGTTATTCACTGTATTATACATGGAAGTGCAACAATAAATACATAAATTGCAGTTATTGCTTTAATAAAATGTTAAATGCATAATATATAAATGAAACGTAATATTATAAATAAAGGCAATATGAAACACAAGCAATATTGGATGATTATTGCAAGAGTAAAAGTATATATAAATCCCAACGTGAAAGAAAGAAAAACCCTTGTGGTGAAAGTAAATGTGATGAACATTAAATCGGTTGACTAATTACCATAAAGATTAGTTTTGCTAGCGCCTAGCGACTCTTAGCACATGTTTACGGCCTTGGTCTCGGAGCAAACACTAACAGGGCTCTGGGGGGACTGGGAACAAGATCTTACGACAAGTATACCCGGGGGCCGGGAATCGCGAATATATACGAATATATATATTTTATTTTCAAACAGATGGTTTTCTGTTTTTCATGCTTTGTCGGTTCAATTACAGAATACAGAAGAAATTTTATTTGCTTGTTGACAGCAATTGTTGTACACCATTTCTTAATCGTGAAAATTCCTCTTGTTACGCCAGTTTCCCCGCCAAGCACAGCTTAGATGCTGTGATGCCTGCCAAATGTTCCTTGGCGCGGTCATTCAGACCTTGCTGCCCGCCACGGATCTGTGGCGGAAGGGCCCCCGGATGCAGACTGGACCTCAGCCTTCGGCTTCGGTTGATAATGGCAAACTTCCGGCTTGATAATTCTTCATATCGTGCTCAACAGTCAACTCGGCCCACTAACCAACTCGGCCCACCGTTCAAGGACCAAGTCCACCCGCTCATAAACTGACCAATCTAACCACTAAACGAGCTAGGAACCATGACTGTGTTCTATCTTTGCAAATTTTGAGAGATTTGAATGATCAGTAATTTAGTATCAAAACGGACAGATCGAGAATTTGAAACTTCGATAGATTCTTTAATTAAATTAAGTCAAACTGGATGTTCTCAAACTTTACTCATCTGTACGCCCAATGCAGTTGCAAATGGTTGTATTGGTTTGGTGCTATCTTTTGTATACTATTAGCTTTCCCAATATGTCAAACAGTAGTTAACAATTGGGCCAAGATGGTATGGGCCGAGTTGGTCAGTGGGCCGAGTTAACCAGCTTCCAATTTGTTGACACTTGACAAGTGTGAACAACGTGGGCAGCAAAACATTGTTCAGTCCTGTTGAGCAGTGGGCTCGGCGTTTTTTGCCGTGTATGTAACGTCTAACCACTGAACGAGTTCGGTAAGTTCGGTAACTAATTTCTTGCCTTGTTCGCGTTAAAATACAACCAAAATGAGTTCTTACCTTCGGTGGAAGAGCTACACACTATCAAACAATTTGGCTTTGCCGCCGCCATTTTGAATCAAGCACCACCAGTGCTCTCACAATAAAATTTTCGAATTCCTTAGAAAAAGCTCGAAAATTCCTCAGATTTCCTTAAAATTCCTTAAATTGGTAAAAATTACTACAAAGCCTGATCACATAGTTGCAAAAAGTGTTTTTTCCTCCTTTTTTGCTGTTTTTCAGTTTTTCAACCTTGTTTCTAAGCACTGAAAACATTTGATTGTTAGCACAATGCCATAAAGAAAACATTTAACATGATGTATTTTTTATCGTTGCTGCATGAATAGCTTAGAAAATCTGTAGATTTCAGAAGAAACATATACTGACATTTAACTTTTGAGAATTTTAATGAAAAGCAGGGGCAAAACTTGAGGTGGGTATGGGGGGTGTGACACTACCCAAAATACGAATTATCTGGATTGGCAAGGCAACCAAAGATTTTAAATGATAGAATGTGGAGTTATTAAATAACTTACAGGGCTTTCAGAGGGAATTGAGTAGAATTTAAAGACCTAAATTTTACAGATATTGGTCCAAAAATAAGGGATCCACCCATGTTTTAACAGGAATTTGTACGAAAAAGTTTTTTTGATCCTTAAGGGGGACTCGAGTACACCTGAAAACTAGGGCGATATAAAATGTTTTATCTTTGGACAAGGTTACATCCAAACCCCCACAAACTATATATTAGTAGAAAGCTTAGAACTTGGAGATTCAGAAAAAAAATATTTCAAACAGTGAAAAGCTGTATTAAGGTGGCTCTGCACCGTTCATCAAATTTTCGGTTTAGCTTTATTCAAGAAAAGATTGCACTAGCTGTGTATTATGAAATTTGATTATTTATACATTTTTTAAATATTTACATAGGGATTATTGTTTTAAGCATAGAGAATTTTAATTGACAAAAAAGAAAAAAAGTTATGGGTTTGGGAAATTAGGCGTCAAATTTTTAAAAAGTAAAAATTGTAGTAACTTTTGATATTTTTACTCAATCAAAAATCTCTATGCTTAAAACACAAAGCTAAGTGAGAGGAGCATTCTCTGAAAATTTCAGTGCAATCCAATAAATTGTTATCGAGATATCTTTTCTCAAAGTCTAAAATATCCGAAAATGAGAAAAACGAGTTTAAAGTCTCTTGTATCGAAAACACTTGATTTTTCATACATTTTGAAAATCTTAAGCCTGGATAATTTAAATCCTAGCATTTACTTGGTGTTTTAAAAAGTTTTGTTACAGTTTAAAATACTCTAGCCTCTTTAGGTCACTCCTTCAGCTTCCCAAATAGCTTCTTGCCGTTGCGTTCAAATCAGTTTCTCTCCTTGGCGTCGTTTCTTCTCTTTTTCAGTTGCCTGTAAATCAGAATTCTTCATTCGCTGCACATCGATCTTGCATCACAAGTTTGTTTTGTTTTACCCCCAGTGTGAATGGACAGCCGTTTCATAACACCAAGTCGACTCTTTGCTCCAATATGGAAGTGGGGGAATAGCGGCAGCTACAGGACATTGCACTGCTTTGCCGCCATGTTGTTTATGCTTTGGATACCTAGTCCAAGCTAGAGCATTCAAACTGCCATTTTGGTTTTCAGTTGTGCCAAGAACACACCTTTTAAGCAACTCTGTTTGACTAGGAGAAATGACCAACACGTCCACTTTCATCTTCTTCCAAAGTTAAATTTCCTAAAGAAATGTTCATTAACATTTTTAAAACAATTGACACATATATGTACTGTTATATTGCAACTGTTTACATGTTACACAACAAATATATACAACTTTTGTTGCCGAATAGATATAAAAGGGGTTTGCAGGAGTACAATTTAAACCATATGTTATATTAAATCAGTTTTGAAGGATAAGATATAAAACACAAAGGGCAAATTCTTACCTTCCTCACACATGTGTTGAATATTTGAGACAGCATAATTGGATAGGCAGCCAAACTGATCAGCCTGTATTCGGGGATATTTTCTTCGGTGTCATTATCACTATTGTCATTTCTGATTTCACATCGTAATTTTCTTGAAGTTCCAATAACATTATTTTGGTTTGAGCCATCAACATTGTCTATTTGGAGATTCACACGTGGGATCATCATTACTCATATTTTGATCTCGTGTTGAGTCACGATCTTACGGTGGCCCAGACGCGACAGCACAAAAACAGTTTTTGTATTTTTTGATTTTTTGATTTTTTGATTTTTGTATTTTTTGATTTTTTGATTTTTTGATTTTTGTATTTTTTGATTTTTTGATTTTTTGATTTTTTGATTTTTTGATTTTTTTGGAAAATATAACATAATCGAAGCTGTGTAACACAAAATTAAGGTTAAGGGTTAGGGCCGCGAATTTGGCATTTATCATGTTGATAAATTTGGACGCGTTTAACAATTTACTCATATAGTAAATTGTGGAGCTCATGCTGTAATTACACTGTACATATAATCTTGATAAAAAACTTTTCACGACATATGGCGCCGGACAAATGGTTCATTTAGTGCCGGAAAAAATTTTGCGGACATAAAATCGTTTATTTTTTGCCGACAATTTTCTTAATTTTTTGAGATTTTTAGATGTATCATCTGGGTCCTGGGATTTATATTCTGAGTTCATCAATCTTGCATCAATAAATTTTAAGGATCCCTTGTTCTGCGAGCCCCGCCCGAGATAAAGTTCCCCTCTGCCTCTCTCTCGGCGATCCTGCATGCAGTAGATGTAAATTGATAACGAAAGATTCAATATATATACAATTTTAAACTTAACTACAGGAGCAGCTGCGAAAATGCTGTCAACTGACAGGAATCGAACCTGTGGCTAAATATAGAGATTTTTGGGAATATGACGCTGGAAATCTCAATTTGCGCTTGGTATTTTTCTTGAAATTTGTGCTTGAAATTTCCATCCTACATAAATCCTTCAATCTGTTCATATCTTATATAATGGCATCACCTGTACTAAATACTGTATATAAACAAGAACTTGTGTTTGGAGTTCGACAACTGAACTCTATAACTCAGTTGGTTAGAGCACTGCAACGGAATTGCAGGGCCATAGGTTCGATTCCTGCTATAGTTCTATTTTCAGCAGCTGGTTATAGGTCTAAATTAAATATATATTAATCTTCCACTCGAAATGCTCATCTACATAAGGCCTTCAATCTCGGGATCAAGTGGTCTTAGAATCAGGGGCGTAGGAAGAGGGGGGGCAGAGGGAACACGTCCCCCCCCCTCCCAAATTGTTTCAAAGGACCAAAAGTGTCCCTTTTTGTGATGAAAAGTGCCCTTTTTGTACAAGCTAATGTCGCTGTAAATACTAAATTAACGTCAAAGGTGCCCTTCTTGTTTAGAGATTTCGATGTTTTTTAAAAAAAATTGGTCAAAAACGTGCCATTGCGTTATGGTATGACGGGAAAACTTTTCTTAAGCTACTAGTTGTCCAATCGACCTGTGTGATGCGATCGTGACTAAAACACCACACGAGTACATACGAGTAACATACGAGTAACACACAAGTACATACGAGTACATACGAGTAACACACAAGTACATACGAGTAACATACGAGTACATACGAGTAACACACGAGTACATACGAGTAACATACGAGTAAAACACAGAGTACATACGAGTAGAATACGAGTACATACGAGTAAAATACGACTAGTAAACTTGTTTTTAGTGTTTGTAGATTGAATACAGGCAAAAAGATCGTCTTTTCTGTCGAAAAACGTGGAATGGGGGAACGGGGAATGGAGGAACAGGGAATGGAGGGAACGGAGAACGGGGAATGGAGGAACGAGTAACGGGGGGGGGGGGATCGAGCAATTATGAATTATTATTAATACGTAATATTAATCATATGTACGGGGGGAAAAGAACAGAAAAAAAGAAACAGAAATTCGACAGGATAAACGGGAATCAGGGAATTACGAAACTATAAAACGGACTCTGGTGTCTTGGGAATTAGAAAACCGCTCAATGAATTAAAGCTAGTAAAGAAATTTATTGAAGCTTTCCTTTATTAGTACAGCGTATCATAAAAAAGTCAATCCACATTGCTTATGTCCGGTCATTAAGTAATATTAATAATAATAACATTGCTTATGTCATTACTAATATACTTGCTATATAATAAAACAAACTTAAGGACTAGATGCAAGCCCAAGGCGGTCCTTATGCTCCATATGATATCTTAAAGTGATTATCCTATTTTAAATATCTTACAAATCAAAACTAACAAAACACAAAATACTTCAAAATACGCAGATTTTAAGTTAGCGATTTAAGTTGGCAAGTACGTTTCTAAAGGACCCAGCCGAACTCTCCTGCAAGCTTTTGGACGTGCTCCACCTTGAGAAGGGAAGGAAAGTCTGGAGGAACGAGAACGTCGCCAAGAAAGCTTGGATACTTTGCTCTGATGCAGGCCTGATCGGAAATGAAAATGCACGTTCTGAGGCTCACTTGAAAACTGGATTTGTCCTGCACGGCCTCTTTAACATACAAGCTGGGAAAGGAGGGGGGGGGGAGGCATTTGCCCCCAGTCTCCCCTTGCGCAAAAACGAAATCACATTTTGCCCCCCTCCCCCAGAAAAGTCCCTTTTTCCTAAATTTATACAAACAAACCAGCGAAGAATAACAAATTGATAAACGGAACATACGTTTTAGGCTTTATCCTTTGTCCTTGTTTAACAAAATCGATTTAAAGGACTGTGTCACCGCGTGGCATCCTACGTGTTTCTAACACTAAGTAATGATAAATTATTGTTAATATTTTTTAAATTCTTTGTGTGTTTTTTCCTTCTTTTATTTCAAATAGAAGTATAGTTAGGATAAATTCTAGAAAATTTAGATGCTCAGACGGCAGGAAATGGCTTGAAATTTCAAAAATTTTCTGGGGAGTTAATGCCTCCAGACCCCCCCTATTCATTCGCGGTATGTCGGCCACACACGTGACCCACGGCCATTGCTATCCCCCTTTAATAATAAGTAATGGATAAATTATTGTTAAAGGTGATCTACAGTCCGTATGTAAACAAAGCCTTTGTTTACATTTTTGTGTCCAAAATATTGAGCTTTATTCGACAACTATTTATATAGATGCAGTTAGTGAGTTAGGTTTTGTGCATGCTCACAGGGTTTTGAAAGCAAACCATGCCGTGAAATATGTGAAGCCTATGGTTTGTGTCATGTATCTAACTATCTAGGTAGAATACCTAAAAGTAGATGTTGTACAAACTACAAAGTTGTGGTTTATAGAATCTGGCAGATCTCCCCCGCCCCCTGTCTCCTATTTCCTCCCTCCCCCCTCGCCCCTCCATTCCCTCCGTTCCCCGTTCCCCCACTTCCCGTTCTCCCATTCCCCGTCCCCCCATTCCCCGTTTTAAAGATAGCCGGTTTCAGTCTATTTCACGGTTTTTCGACAGAGAAGACGGTCTTTTTGCCTGTATTCAATCTACAAACACTAAAAACAAGTTTACTAGTCGTATTTTACTCGTATTCTACTCGTATGTACTCGTATGTACTTGTGTTTTACTCGTATGTACTCGTGTGTTACTCGTATGTATTTGTATGTTACTCGTATGTTACTCGTATATACTCGTATGTTACTCGTATGTACTTGTGTGTTACTCGTATGTACTCGTATGTACCTGTGTGTTACTCGTATGTTACTCGTATGTACTCGTGTGGTGTTTTAGTCACGATCGTGTGATGCACCGCATTCTGGTTTAGGATACTTTATTGTACATATATCAAGTTCATACTACAATATATATATACATGATCACTGTTTAGGGAAAGTACATTTATTATGCCGAGGGGAGGGGGGGGGATGGATATGTCTTGAAAAAAAGCTCATATTTTTACATGGCCCCTGTTGAGATTGTTGGTAAAATAAAAGTTTGAAAATAAAAGTTTGAAAATAAAAGTTTGAAAATAAAAGTTTGAAAATAAAAGTTTGAAAATAAAAGTTTGAAAATAAAAGTTTGAAAATAAAAGTTTGAAAATAAAAGTTTGAAGTTCGTTCGTAGTCAGGAAGAAAGCCCGCAAATACCGCCTTCTACGCAGGCTGATATTTACATTTCAAAACTAATTAATAATTTGTGAGGAAAATACAAAGAAAAAGGCATAGTACAAAACATGGACTGGACTGGACTGGACAGTTGGACTGGACTGGACAGTTGGACTGGACTGGACAGTTGGACTGAACTGGACAGTTGGACTGGACTGGACTGATTTTTACATTTTCTCTATTCTTGACTTGCACGTCACCCGCCATGTCAGGTGGCATGGCACAAAAGAATATTTTATCACAGAATAAATATACCATGGTGTGTACCAGGAGGAGATTGGTTTCAAGTCAAGAATATAACGTTTTGCACCTGAATTACTTTTGATTTTCGGAAATTGAAATACTTTACCTTCGCCGATGACCTCATTTTATAACTGGAGTGAAATCTCAAGAAACCCCAGTAAGGGGCCGACCATTTAACTTTTGAGGGGGGGGGGAGGGGTTGGAGGATTTACTGCTGGAAGGGAATTTTTTTCTTGATATGGGATCGTTATGTGCAAGATTTTTTTCCCCTATCCCATCACCATGTACGATATTTTTTGCCACTCCGTCTTTCGCAGCTTTCAATAGCTTATACTATTTAGATTCTTTAATTAATAATAGTTAACGTTGCGTTTTCTAGCTTCATGCATTGCTTTTAATAATACATATTGCTATGAGGTATAAGATTTGGTTCAGGGCCTCTTTACGGATGTGTAACTGGAGGGGACATATTTAGCGGGGGACCTGGAGAAGTTCCAGTCGGCAAGTCTGTATCACTGCAGCTACCAGCATATATATGCATGGTTTAACTAATAAGTATACACCATAGGGCAGCAGATCAGGCCAATATTAACTAGGATTCTGAGACAACCGAGTCGACCACCGAAGGTGCAAGCCTCTACAGGGGTCTGGGGGCATGCCCCTCCCCCCAGAAAATTGTGGATTTTGTGAAGCTCAGATAAGCTATTTTCAGGAGTTTTCCAACAAGAAATTAACCTTACACTATAGTCTCCGAAAATCAAACCAGCTGATCTTCTGGGACTGGTCAAATCGATCCCTGCAACCATGTTATTTTGCAACATTTTTTCCCCCACCAAATACTGGGGCAGGATATTTTTCTCCCAGTTTGTTAGTGCAGGCATTTTCTTTTGTTCAGAATAGCCTTGCAGGAAATCACCCCCTCCCCCATCCCCCTCAAAAGTTAAATGGTCGGCCCCTAAGAAGAATAGAATACAATACCAAACATAAACTACCGGGTGTCCCAAAAAAAAGTTCTCCGGTTTGACTTGTAATAACTTCTAAACAAGTAAAGCTATCAAACAGAAATAACTTGCATTAAATAGAGGAAGGACTAACTTAGATTTTGATATATTAAAGTTGTATTTTACTTAACAATTCACGCAGATATTAATGTTCAAAATCGGGAGCATATTTTTGCATGTGTCTAAAATTAGCGAAAATCGGCATATCAAATATTAACTTCAGCGTTTGTTTGCTTGATGACATATCAGGCTAACTTGTATTTCAGCGAATTGTCGTTAGGGTTTGTAAGGGATATGGCATAGATTTAGACATCTTACATGTAAGTCTTAGCTCATTGTTTCCTGAAATATGAACGTACGAAATTATGCAAGTATTTAATAGGTCTTTACAAACTTATAAGGTACATGAAAGACCATGCAAGGTAGGCGCTTAAATTTTAAAATTTCTTAAATAGCCTAATTTTTAATGTTTTTCATGGATTCAAAACAGAGTTGATTATTTCTCGATTAGAGCAGGATGAATATTATTCTGCAATGAAGGAAATAATATTGCTTTTTGCAAATACACGTCACTGACAGTATCAACGCTACTGTATTGTTACATTTTGTTCTAAAAATGTCGGATGTCTCTGGAGAGTTACATGCTTGTTATGTCTTATCGAGTTGTATGGTTTGATTGTGTTTCATTCACAGTTTATTCTGAACTTAAAAAGATTAAGAAAAGGGAAAAGAGTTTCAGTGTTCTTTGCAGGATTTCAGAACGTTGCAAAAGTTAGAAGAGCTTCACAATTCGATTGTGACAGCATGCCCTAATTCAGAACTACGAACGATCCATGACAATCCTTCGCGATGCAGTGGTCTCTTGAAATAAGGAAACGTATTCGTGCTAGAAACACACGCGGATTTCGGACGAATAAATCTTGCTTGTATTTTACTATTTTGTAGATAATAATAATTTGTTTCATAATAAACAATTTGTCAAGTGTCATTTATTTACTGGTAATCGTGCATGTTTCAGTCGGGCAATCAGTCTTGATTAATATGTGATACGCCGTTTTTTGCATATTTCAGACACATCCAGAAATATGCTCCCGATTTCAAATATTAATATCTCCGTGAATTTTTAAGTGAAATACAACTGTAATATATCAAAATCTAAGTTAGTCCTTCCTCTATTTGATGCAAGTTATTTATCTTTAAAAGCTTTACTTGTTTAGAAGTTATTACGAATCAAACCGGAGTACTTTTTTTTGGGACACCCGGTACTTTGTAGCCTGCTCGGATACGTATTGCCATGGTCGTAGGAAGATCTTGGGGGGGCTCAAATTCATATATTCATGTTCGCAGACCGTAAAAACAATCAAATTCAGAAGAAGTAAATGATGCAGAACACAAATATTTGAATATGAGCTCCTGCCCCCCCCCCCCGCCAATTATCTATCTTTCTATACCCATGGCCATGCAGACTGAAATATCGAAATTTAATACGTATGCGAGCAGGCTACCCATAGCAAAGATAGTTTATGTTTGGTATTATATTCTATTCTACTTACTGGGGTTTCTTTCGCTTTAAGAGATTTCACTCCAGTTATAACGTGAGGTCATCGGCGAAGGTAAAGTATTTCAATTTCCGAAAATCAAAAGTAATTCAGGTGCAAAACGTTATATTCTTGACTTGCAACCAATCTCCTCCTGGTACACACCAGACAATGTTCATTGATAAAATCACAAAATACTTGACACACACAGTATATCTATTCTGTGATAAAATATTCTTTTGTGCCATGCCACCTGACATGGCGGGTGACGTGCAAGTCAAGAATAGAGAAAATGTAAAAATCAGTCCAGTCCAGTCCAACTGTCCAGTCCAACTGTCCAGTCCAACTGTCCAGTCCAGTCCAGTCCATGTTTTGTACTATGCCAAAGAAAAATCATAACATAAGCGTGTCGTTTACATGTGATAGAGATTTCCCTTGATTTACATAAACTTTAACGTTGATTTTCTCTTTTGAAAATTACTTCGCCAATGACCGTAGTATAGAGCGATCGTTTTTGAAGCAATTTAAAATACTGTGCCGATGTCTTCTTTATTAATATCAGACCTAAAGAGTAAAGATATTCGGCTTGGCCTCCTATTTTATATCTGATAAAACACTGCTGATCATGCATTAAATAGTACTAAAAAACTCATTTAGATAAACTTTAAGTTAAATTTTCACACCAAATATCATTCATTGAATATTTAAAATTGTTGAAGAATACGAATGTTCTCAAACGTTTGATCACAAGTCATACGAAGTATCGCGTACATGTTGTGACATTGTTGTCCCAGACATTGTCTTTGGCTCAAGTTTGTACATTTGATACAACACGGCCGCTCATGCTTTATCTAGATTGTAGACATAAAATTTACATCCGCAGTGCGTGTTTTATCAGACTTATAAAAGATACTCGGCCTCGCCTATAGTACTTCAAACTTTTGAAGACCATGCATGTCAAGTCCGCGTAATGTAAATAAATCCTTCGACGCTTTGTTTATATTTTGGACTGCTATATATTTGTAAAATAAGACATACTATTAACTAAATATCTAACAGTTTTCTGGTTCGCTATTGTAAATGAATATAAACTAGAGTACGTTTCAATTCAAAACAGTTCGAAAAATGCAAAATTTGGGCAATATTTATTTCTGTGGGTCGCCCTTTGCTATGAACAGAACTGATGTGCAGAACGAACTTGACAAGGTCTTTAAACATTAAAAAAATCCAAATATATATCAAATTCAAAAAATCAAAAAATCAAAAAATCGAAAAATCAAAAAATCAAAAAATCAAAAAATACAAAAATCAAAAAATCAAAAAATACAAAAATCAAAAAATACAAAAATCAAAAAATCAAAAAATCAAAAAATCAAAAAATCAAAAAATCAAAAAATCAAAAAATCAAAAAATCAAAAAATACAAAAATCAAAAAATCAAAAAATACAAAAATCAAAAAATCAAAAAATCAAAAAATCAAAAAATACAAAAATCAAAAAATAAAAAAATAAAAAAATACAAAAACTGTTTTTGTGCTGTCGCGTCTGGGCCACCGTACGATCTTGGTGTCTTTGCAATACCAGAAAACCTCTTTCCCTTCCTTTTTCGCTTGTATTAAGAAGATCTACTCTTCGTACCGGTCATTGTTATAATTTGAAGAAAAGAGATACATTTCTTGGCCCTCAATTCGCATTGTTTTTTGCTTCAACATGCATCGACGTACACAATTCATTTCATCAACAAATATCAGACTCAAATTCAAACAGGAGCCCGCGATGTAATAGCAATGCAGGAACGTCATGTACCACAATATATAGTGTACTTGCTATACACATGCTAATTTGGACAGTTTCAGCCGAACAATGGGCAAAAAACCGTCAAAAAACAAAAAATGCTGTTACCGTTGCCATAGTAACAGAATCAGCATATTCAAACAATAGTAATAAAAGCCTTTAAAATACATGAAGATGTTGGAATTTCAAAAAACTCTTTTTACATATGTTATTAGTTAGGTACCTGAAGTACCTGAAAATGCAAAAAAAAATTTTTTCATTTTTTCGCAAAATTTCAGGTGTACTCCCCCCTTAATTTAATTTTACTGGTTTATGTCCGGAAAAATTTTTTCAAACCCCCCTCGCCAACATTTTTGAGAAAAATAGTGGCCAGAAATAAACATTTGCTGCAGGGAATCATCGGTTTTGGCAGGGCAATTCTGGCAGACACCCCCCCCCCCCGAATTAAAAGGTGCTAGTTTTGCCCCTGATGAAAAGACAGCCAGATGTACATTTACATGACATAAAGAAGGTCAAAGAACATACGAATATATGTAATTTGCGCATATAATGTTGCTACTTTCAAGTTTAAATCTCATTTGCGTGGCGTGGTTATCCACCGTCCAACGTTTTTAGTCCAAGATAAAATGTTTCGAAAATTCCTTAAAACCTAAATTCCTTAAAAAAATCCTTAAAACTCTTCAAAATTCCTATTTTTAAGGATAATTCCTTAAAAGTGAGAGCACTGTCAAGCACTGAAGCAGCGGCCAGCGGTCACAAAACATTACTTTATAATTTTACTTTATATAAAGACGTACGAAACGACGGCAGATTTTACGGCAGATTTTACCGCAGATTTTACGGCAGATTTTACGGCAGATTTTACGGCAGATTTTACGGCAGATTTTCGTGGTGGGGCACCTTTCGATGGGTTCAGAAATTTCGATTTCACCTCCACTACCGACCCCCCTCCCCCTCCGCCCACTCCCTCACGCCAATATTTTTCGGCAACGTTGTACTAAATATATTTTGAAACCACCAACATAGACTTGGATCAAGTCCGTCTCTCAAGAGTCCGAGGGATCGAGCGCGCCGCTTCGGTGCAATAACGCGGGAAAGTTTTTTTACCTTGCCCCTTTATGTCCTTTAGCGGACAATCCGGGCCGTCGCTAAGATCATGGGCGTACCGGAAGGAAAAAACTAGGGGGGCGGAAAGAAATTTGCCCGACTTGTCTGGATTGTGCCCGACCAAGACCGAAAAATTTTTTTCCGGAGTTTATTTTGGCGACTTCCCCCCCACTTCCCCCCCCCCCTCGCTCGGTCAGTGTGTCATTTTAGGGGTCAAAAAATTTTTCGGACACACCAAAATTTTTCGGAACATCACACAAATTTTTGAAAAATCACAAAATTTACCTCAAAATTGACAGATTTGTCCCATTTATTTTTATAATAAAGCAATATTGCCCGACTGCCCAATGCTAAGATGTTTGAAGTAGGTGTGGGTATCGCCATTTGACGACAAAAGCGCGCATGCATGGTCTCCAGGTGTGGTCATCTCAAATTACCTATTCAATTACATGAAATTTAGGGATTGGACATATCTTCGCTCTGACTAGCCTCCTGCGCAGACGTTGTTAGTCGGGGTCTGTCGGCCACTAACAACGTCTGCGCAGGAGGCTACGCTCTGACGAGAATCCTGTCGGACAATATGCTTAATTTCAATGAGAATAACATGTTCTATCAGCAAGTCATTTACAATTCAATTTGGAAATGATTAATTTAAGCCTGGTTTCCATTAAATCATAATTATCGCAAGAACCGCATCGCAAGCGTCGCAACGATTTAAAAAACGCGAAAATTTTAATAAAAACTGCGATTTACTGGAAACTTGAGTCACACCGATAACTAAGACTCTTACGATATTGCGATGATTACGATATAATGGAAACCAGGCTTTACATTGATGGACTAATTAGGAATTCAACTGCATGCTTGTTTTTTATATTTAGAATATTTATAAGTAACCGCATGCAAAGAAATGCTGACGAAATGCCTATGCTGACTCAAATTCACCCTTGTTTTTTGTGGGCGAGGGTCAAGAATATATTTTGCCTGTTAATCGTGATTTTAACCATGACATTTGAAATTCCTCATGTATCATAAAATTTTTTCTGAAAAACTTCGTTTGCCAATAGGCGACGGCCCTAGTTAGATATAATTAAGATTATATTTCTGATAAATGAATAGACAATTCCCATTATAGACTGATTTTAAAACTAGGCAAGGAGATGCAAATAAACCACCACACGGCTAGAAAGAGCGTACTAAAATTAGTAAAATTACAATGTTGTAAAATACGGAAAATATAGCCTTGCAAAGTTGCAAATTTTGTATACTTTTGTATTGCATGCGGAGAGTGCTACCATTTTCGGCCCAAATGTGGCAGGAATGTGGTAGGAATTTCCGCACGCCAAGGCATTTTTTAATACCATGGACTGGTGGGGCATTTGCCCCCACTGAGCCCCTTCCTCTTCTGCCCCACCACTGAAGAAAAAAAATGGCCTATTGCCCCAAAGCCAGGGCCCTTATATGACCTGTATTGAGTAAATGAGTTTAACATTGAAAAGAAGTTTAAAAAACAAAATTTGTTGGTGAGCATAGTAAACTTATGTTATGTTTGAATGTTTAGCATGCAACTTATTACAAATTTCACCATTAAAACTTTGTTTTGAGAAGCTGAGATTGTTTTAAATGTGTTCTCAGAATGCAGGAAATGCTATTTCAGAGACCCAAATTTTAAAAATTCCCATGCCCCCAGCTTCAACCCCCATAGCTAACTCGTGCCTACGGTACTCTGCTCACACCTTCGGCGATCACACTATGCTGGGGGAGCAAGGAAAGTGGACCCTTTTGCAGTTTTTCCCCACCACTGAAGAATCCTTAAAAAATGCACTGCCGCACGCCATATACAAAAGTATACAGAATTTGCGAACTTTTAAGACTATACTTTCCGCATTTTACAACATTTCGCAACCAATTAAACTTTGTAATTTTACTAATTTTAGTATGCTCCTTCTAGCTGTGGTGATTTATTTGCATTTCCTTGCCTAGTTTTAAAATTAGTCTTTTATGGGAATTGTCTATTAGCGAGCTGTTTGATTCGTTAGTTTCACTGTTGACTGTTGAGTTTCAGATAAAACGTACTTGAGAAAAATATGTCGAGGCTTTTTTTTTTAATTGGTCTGAGTTCGTTAAACTTGAATTATATATACAGTAATACTCGGACATTAAGTTTGTAATGTGCCTAATTAGAGATCTATAGTTATTTTTTCATGTTCGACGCTTTCAAATGGAGCATTAAATAGTATTAAATGTGGCACATATAGAAATAACTTACTCTAATACCTATTTTACGGTGAGATATTTATGAAGTACTCAAGTACCTGAAACTGTGTGTCTCTTTCTCTTATTTTACAGAATATTACTGGATGAACATTTGAACATTAAATATAAGATAGCTGTATGTCATTTGTAACGACAAACTACTCAGAACAAGAACACAATGTCAATGACTGATCAATGAAGAAGTATAAAGATAAGACTGAGTGCCAAGTCTGCATGCTTTGAATGGGAAATGGTAGTAATTGAATGAAAGCATCGATGATTTGACGTGGAAACCATGCAGAACGTACTCAGAACAACAAGAACAAAGAAAGATCAGTGTAAATTATAAGATCTGAAGAAAGCCGCGAAATTTTTCTAGGGGGTGCTCCCCAGAAAACTTTGAAAATCAAGCCCCGCGGAAAATGCATTCCCAAAATAATTTTGTTTGAAGTGGCCATGCCCATGTGTATATTATCAATATTTTGTCGGCTTCTCACTCGATTGAATAATAGTTGAAGCTTATTGTAGATGGAGATTATCGAGTGGAAATTTATATATACATTTTGCCTGATAATATAGGCTGATTTACTTCTGAGCTGATATATATATATATATATATATATATATATATATATATATATATATATATATATATATATATATATATATATATATATATATATATATATACATATATATATATATTTTTTTTTATTTTTTTTTTCGGCGAATGTATTAGAAAAGAATACCAAGACTGATACTGCCATAAGACACTCGTAAGGCACTATTTTATACTGTTTCCCACTCGCAGCTGTTTCGAGATAGGACAAGCTCACCCATTTTTATATTATTTCAGGATGTCAATTTACCGATTGCAACGATTAGGAATTACCAATCATAAATTCGGTTTATCTTTGAAGTGTTCCTCAAATCACAGTGAAGTGGAGGATCCATTTGTAATCTGTGTGGCATTCATCTCTAAACTCTGTGTTTCATTCCTTTTCTTTACCTCGGTTTTATCCAGTTTTTGTCTCGCCGGACTTCGCGTAACAATAGCGAACAGAGCAGCAAAGGAGCGACGATATTTAGGAAGCCTCCAACCATATATTGCAGGATTAAGAGCAAAATTGACTGCAAATACCGGTGTGAGGTAGGCTGGAATGGACCTTATTACCTCGCCAATACAATGACTTCCACAGAAAAGTAATAGACCGTGTAGTAACTGGTAGAGAAATATTAAGGGCAATGTCGTTAGCACAAGTATGACTATTAAGGTAAACACCACCTTTGTTAGTCTGTTTTCTCGTTTAATAAGAGCTCGATGTTCCTGAAGTGCATCATGGCGTCGACGAATTGCCCAAAGTTTTATGTAAAATGTAATCACGACCAAAACACAAAGCTCAAAAACAGAAGACAAGATAAACATGTGTATGCTTAGCTTTTCACGGTCAAGTCGAATAAATGACACCCCTGAAATTAACCAAATCATCACAACAGCATAGGTAGTCCTTCTCTTTGTTATGATCGTGTCTGCTGACCAAATATGACGTATTACGATGTACCTTTCCAAAGAGAGCAATGCAATGGTAATAAATGATGCTGAATATCCAAACCAAACAAGGCAAAAAACGATCTGGCCAAATTTCTCAGACGCCCAGTTCCAATGCGTTGTCGTCCATAGGAAAATCATTATAGCAGTAAGAAAGTCTGCAATGCATAGGTTTAGAATCAGGCCTGAAGAGATGTTACGTAAACACCGCAATGGATCTGCAGCAAAAACGACCAGGAGAAAACCATTTGATATGACACCACAGAGACTTATGATCATGGTTGTATAAATGACTATCAAGAACTCTGTGTACCCTGAATGAGCGTACTCTGGCAATGTTTCATTTGATCCATTTTTCAATGCATCCTGATGCTGAAAAATAAAATAAATAATTTTAACAGGAACGATGAAAGTTGAAATGTGGCATTTTCTTGAAAGAAACTGCAAGGATGTTGGCTCTTATTAAATATAGGACAGATTTGTAGATAAAATTGAGCATACAGATCACAATAATGACTCTAGAGTTATAATGTGATAGCAATCTGAGAGACGGACTTTACGACAGAATAACCAGTAGAGAGACGCGGGCTAACAGTGGGAGACGAAGAATGACAAAGGAGGTCAATCAAACCTAAGACAAGAGGATCCGATGCCCAGGTCACATGCAGAATTTGTTGAGCATGCATTAATTGGCGAAAAAGAAGAAATTAAAGATACAATAACGCAAGCTTAATTAAAAAGCACGCGTGTATATAAAATAGTTTCTAACCATTGCCCCTAGGCATTACTGGATAAAAAGATATGTGACCATGTGAATCTCACCCATATGGCTTTCATGAACGACTCTTTTTCATCTTGTTCATGATTTGTCATTGCCTGCCCATGCAGACATGAACAATATGAAAATCCCACATATAATCCGGACCATATCACTTCATACCTTCGTATCCTAACCAGCTTTAATATAATTGCGGTTTGTTATGTTGTGTTAAGGCAGCTATATGTGCAGAAATTTAACAAAGGGTTAGTTATATATGTGACCTTTCAAAGATAGTTTGTCCTTTAAATAGTTTCCCGAGTCTGAATAGTTTGAATAGTTTATACTCATAATTAAATTGCTATCTAGTGAAGTGAATTGAATTGATTGTGAGAAAAATAAAGCAACATGGATGACGTTTAAACTTTTTTTGCTTTTCAAAATTCTTTAAAACTTTTTTAAAACCCTTTTAAAAACTATTTTTTTGAAAATCTTGAAAATCTCCCCAACCCCGCGCGATCAGCCTCCCTTTTAGTGCCATCACATTCATAACAAGAAGTCTTGTCTAATGCTTGTGGTTTTATGATTAACTCTATTGACAAATTCAAAATGTGCCGTGAATTTATCATAATGATAAATTCGGACGTGTTTAAGAATTTACTCATATAGTAAATTCAAAGGTGGAGCTCATGTTGGCCAATCAGATTGCAGGAAATTTTAAATAACACTAAGCATGCACAAATAAAAAAAATTATTTGCTTTAGTTGTTTATATAAGACCTTCACTGACATTCTTCCTTTTCTCGTGTCAATGAACTTTACAGCGGATTATTCTACACGAGACAAAACATTTTCTCACGGGAAAAACACAGAAAATCTCGACCAGAAACTACATCGATTATTTAATTTAGTCGAAGAGATAAATACCATTGTATCAAGTTAATTAATAAATGATCAACTAAATGTCACTCGAACACAGGAAATGAAAAAAAGACGCCACCTCAACCGAGATTTACAGAAATAATTATTCCAAGTGCGCTTTAGCAATATACAATTGTCCAAACCATATAATATCATTCATGTGGGGAGCTATCCCCCCCTCCCCCCAATAAATGGATAAGATTCAACATATTAAAGTTTATCTATAAAAATTGGGCAAATTTAGAGAACAATTTCAGGAAAGACGAAAGATAACAGGCACGAATATAAAAAATATCAAGTAGGAAATATGTTAGGTCCGGAAAATGTTTTGTTCCCACCTCCGCATTTCCGGATTTTACATGTTGACACTCCATGGAAACCGGAATGACCCAGCCAGCCGTCCCAACACAAATCATCCACCAAACACCCGAATCAAACCATCCCATCCCTATTGTATTTCAGTGCTAAACTATGCTCTGATTTTCTAAACTTGACGAAAACCTGGTTTCATTATTGAAATATACATTCATAAATTATGAAAAATTTTAAAAAGTACGTCGTGGAAAATAAGCTAGATTTTCACTTCAAGAAATATTTCGACGACGAAATATTATATACAGGATATTAGACGGTTAGGCGATATGGATTTTATGTTCGAGTGGCAAAACAATATCTCACGAGTGAGCGCAGCGAACGAGTGAAATATTGTTTTTGACACGAAAACATAAATCCCATATCTTCAGTCGCAACCGTCTAGTAATGTCGTAGTTACTAAAACATGGAACGACCCACTACGAC